CCCATTGGAAAGCGAAGATACATTGGCTTTCTGCGGCAATTCGGAGGCAAAAGAAGGCATCTTTGAGATCTAAGACTGTAAAGTAAGTAGCCCCGCCCGGAATTAAAGCAAGCAGGTTATATGGATTGGGCACGACTGGATGTATACTAACAACCGCATCATTGACTGCTCTCAAGTCCTGCACAGGTCGATACTCATCTGTACCGGGCTTTTGAACAGGCAGCAATGGGGTGTTCCAGGGGGAAGTACAGAATTTTAGGATACCATACCGTATGAACTTATCCAGATAAGATTGGATGTTCTTCTTAGCCTTCTGCGGAATATGATATTGTCTCAGGCTTACTGGATAAACCCCAAGTTTTAGTTCGATTTTAATAGGTGGAATATTGCGGGCCAGTCCTGGTGGGTTGTTCTCTGCCCAAACTCCTGGTATGTTAAATAAGGATTCATCACTCCTCGGGTTTTGGCTAGTCAACACTGTATAAAGTCGCCACTCTTCTTCCTTTGGTACGGACAATGTCATAATACCTGAAGGTCCATTAAACTTTAAGGATGTTGTTCCATTTGGTAGGAACGTAATCTGCGCTTGTAATTTGGATAGCATATCACGTCCCAGCAATTGGACTGGACACTCAGGCATATAAAGGAATTGATGTTTTACTACGTGGCCTCCCAATGTACAGAGTCGACTTTTAAGAACCGGTTTTTCAGCACTTCTTCCAGTTGCTCCTATTACAGTAATAGTTCTTCCAGATGGAGGAGCAACTTGATTAGTCACCACCGAATGTTCAGCACCAGTGTCGATCATGAACGCACTCCTTTTTCCCCCTATTGATACATCGACCATAGGCTCCGCTCGACCAAGGGGGATGGAGCCCGGTCGGTATCAATAGTCCTCCATGACCGTGTCAGCCAATCCCACAAAGTCCCTACCTTCTCTATCGCGGGACCTTTGCGCTGCTGGATAGTACCTATCTTCCCTTACACTTCCTCTGTTCCCATTACTCCTCTATTACCATTACTCCCTCCGGGGCCTCCTCTACCTCTCGCTCTGCCTCTAAAGTTTCCGTAACCTGCCCTGGGTAAGTCTCTCTCATACTGCTCTCTTTGCGGACACTCGTTCCTCCAATGCCCTTCTTCCTTACAGTACGCGCACTGATTCCTACTCAAAGGCTCCCTATTCCATCTACCATCGCCTCTATCTGGGCCCCGTCTATCTACGCCTGCGATCGCTACCGCTAGCATATCTGCCTTTCTACGCATCTTGCGCTCTTCCTCTTTCTTACTTTCTGTTTCCCTATTCATATATACTTTGTTCGCTACCTCCATTAGTTGGGTGATAGACATACCTGCAAACCCTTCTAATTTCTGTAGCTTGCGCTTAATATCTCCGTAAGCTTGGCTGACAAAGGCGGAGTTTACCATTCGGGAATTATCAGCGTCTTCCGGATTAAAGGGGGTATACAAGCGGTATGCCTCCAATAATCGGTCATAAAAGACACTGGGCGCTTCATCACTTTTCTGAATCACCTCAACTGTCTTCGACATGTTAATAGCTTTCTTCCCTCCGGCTTTCATGCCAGCAATTATAGCATCTCTATAGGCTTTAAGTTGAGCCATATCTGCGCCATTTACATTCCAGTCAGGATCGGTGTTAGGGTAATGTGTTGCGGCCCATGCTGCCGGATTGGCTTGATTTAAAGCACGGGCTCTCTCCTCTAGCGCCTTAATGGCCGCTTGGTTAATCCTTGTCCTTTCCTCATTATTGAACAATGTCATTAATAACTGCTGGCAATCAGCCCATGTCGGGTTATGTGTCTGAACTATCGAGGTGAACAGATCGGTCATAGCTTGTGGTTTCTCAGTGTACGAGGAATTGTGGGTCTTCCAATTCAAGAGATCGGTAGTCGTGAACGGGACATATACGAAGACTGGGTCAGCATGTGCCATTTGACCTGCGGCATCGATATAGGCTGACCCAGGATTCAGACGAAGAGGCATCTGATAATGTTTTAATTGTTGGGTACCGGTCAGTTGTCGGGTTAGTATGGGGCTACGTGGAGGGGCGTCAGTTAAAGGTTCCGGTCGAGAGGTAATAGGGCATGAGGATGTGGGAACTTGATTTTGGGAAAAGTTAGTGAATAGTATACTCCGAGCCGAGCTAGAAGAAGCTTGACCGGAAGTTTGAAGTGGCGCCAAATCAGGATATTCAGATCTAATGGGGGTTGGTCCTGGTTCCGGAAGGGGAGTTTTAATACGAGGGGGGGTGGATTCTGTACTGGAGGAGGAAGCGGAAGTGGATGGGGGCAATAGGGGAAGGGGTGCAGAGCTTCCTGCATTCGCGTCACTTCCTCTTAAAGGAAAGTAAGGGGGCGGCAAAGGGATCTCGGACTCAGGGGGCGTGTCCAAAATGGGCCTAACACCAGTCCTAGTGGACAAACAAGTCCTGGCCACCATGAGGCGACATTGCTCCTCGTGGCATATCCGGATCCATTTTGGCGAGTCGTTTACGGCCTGCCCCCAACAATCAATGTATGGAAACTGTCCGTAAAGTTCAGGCCTACCTGATACAGCCACGTGTACACGCTGTACCAGGGTTGGATCCAAACTGCCACGCGGCGGCCATGCCGCAACCAAAATAGGCCACTCCCTAGTGCACAAAGTGACCAAACGTACAGGAGACATTTTAACCCCAAAATCACATGTTTTGAATCCCTTTTTAAAATTCTTTACCATACAACCTAAGGGATCCGAAATCGTTGACTCTGACGCGCCCATACTTATCAATGGAACGTCGTTGACAACGAATACTATGCACGCGTTCTTATTCAACAGTCACACCCGTTTCCTCTGGCAACAGCACCACGTGGTACAGTTACCGAGTGAAACGTACACAATAACACAATAATCACTCAGGGAATTCCCGTACACACACAGCTGTTACACCAGTCACTAAATAATCAATATTATGCCCTTTGGCGAAACTATACAGTCACCCACGCTATAATTCTCTATATATGAATTACCCGTCTATAACACACCCCAGTAACATCGTCTTTTACTAGTATCGGTTACAGTACGGTTAGCATAGGTCAAAGCACAATTTAAGGTCACAATACAATTATTAGTGGTTACGGTGTTAAACATGCAATAGACGACAATGATTAGTACTTATATACAGTGTCAGTAAATATACAGGGTTATGGTACCGTGCACTATGATACAGCAACACACTATTAACACTCTCGCTAGACGGCTGAGCTCGCGCTATCTAACAAGATATACACTTTACTAACAATCTTTAACACATTTACAATCCCAACTAAACTATTGGCCAGTACCTTGAATGGACAACCTAAAACTATATACACCCGTTTTGGTTAGCCACACTGCCCAAACACCACATATAGCGTACTAGAGGGCGAAATTTACAAAATTGCCCTTCTAGTCTATTTACTCTATCAAAAGTCTAGTGGGTTCCAAATTTACACGCCTTCCCACTTAGCCAAGATAGGTTGAGAGCTAGCGAACCGAATTTACACAGGCGCCGCTTAGTCTCCCGGTCCCTCCGACCTAGCGAACGTAATATACACCCTAGAACGCTAGTCTAGACAAGACACCGGTGTCCGGCTAGGGCTATTTACACAGGACCCCGCCTGACTAACCAGATCAAACAGTCTTACTAAAGAGCGTTCGATCGAGCGGTGCGCCTTCGCTCCTTCCCTCCGACAGAGGGGGCAGATTCCATACACAGATTTAAACCCCTTTTGGGCCTACCGCACAATCGGTATACCCCTAGTGGGTCTGCCGTCTAAAACAGCAGTTGTCTTACCTCCTCGTTCCTGAACCTGAGTTCACACTCATCGACGGGGACACCCCAGCACTTCTTACGTAGAGGCCGATGATCTCCTGGACAACAGACCAGTGGCGCCGAGACGAAGGGAGGTCCACGCAGAAGTTCAGGGGTGCAGCCGTAGAGAACGTGGGCAAAGATAGACCGTCTCACGCCTCTGCCTCTCAGCTACCGTTGAACGATGAGCTTCCCGGCCAATGCACCAAATGATACCGGAGAAACTGACGGAAGCAAAGCACAGAGAGATGGACACAGGTTTCTTCAGGAAGGAAGAGGTTCTTTATTGGATCACCGATCGGGACTCAGAGGGACTAATGTCACCAAAAATACAGCAAGTTCTGAGCCCTGAACAATAGTGCAGGCTCCCTATATAGGCACATAACTCCTCCCATATTAAGCTCCACCCGCACATTCTCTTGACCAATCATTACAAATAAGAATTAACTTCCTGCTTGACCGCATGGCTTGTCCAGCACAATGGAGGAGGGGAATACTACATCCTGTATTCTTGCACATGCTCCGTACACTACTGATCGTATCTTGCCTCGTGCAACCAACTGATCGATACGTCAGCATATGCACGTACACATGCCACGTGGTAATCTCGGCCTACTAAATTTATTTTTACCGAGATTCCACCACAGATGTACTACTAATTCATGCAACTAACATGTAATTTAGTACAAGAACAATATTTGCTATTTACACAGGCTGAGTTCTAAACACATTTATAGTAAGCTCATTGAGCTGGGCCTTCCATCGCTCTGTTCCTGTACGTCCAGTTGTCTGGTTACAATTGCATGTCTGTTAGTCCACTCAGCTACGGAATCTGATGGCGCTATATAAATAATAATTGTAGTTTTTTAAACACAGTACTGCCAGTATTATTGCTGTGGAGCTCAGTTATACACAGACACACCAACACTACAAAGTTCTGAGTAAAGGAGGACACAGGGGGATTTGGGCCTAAAATAGCCACTGTCCCTTCTCAATAAGGTTAATAAGGTCACTTGGGTGGTAAGGGCATGCCTGTGTGCTTGTGCTTTGCTTAAACATTTCATCCGCAAGCTACGTCACATGAATATTACGAAATGGACGAGAAAATCTCTTGTACCAAACCGGGGAAAGAGATGCGCATGCGCGTTGACCTCGCGCCTGCATGTCGTAAAAATGAAACACTCGCGTTTTTTGGCCATCAATGTACGGTTTATGGTGTGTGTCGCGGCTTTCTACTCCTTTGCTCATGCGTAACGATTAAAGGCACCTCAAATCGGGGGAAATAGCCGGTACACCATGGGGTTCGGATAATATATATCGTGATCTGAGGCAAGTACTTTTTTTTTTTTTTTTTGTATGTGGTCGGTCGGGTGCTGTTCTACTCACAGTCAGGAAGATCTAAGTATTACATATAAAAAAGGTCTTTGAAGACCTTCGCCATTGACCTTTGCACATATAATGGAAAGGGTCAAATGTTAAGCCTGCCCTATCGTTTATTTACGTTTCATGTTAAGCTCTGTTTTGCGCTTGAGTCTCGGTTTATACCGTAGATTGCGGTTGTCTGCTGTGTGCTAAGCATATGCATTTTTATAAACAATATATTTATATTTAGATGCGGTTCTGATTTTAACATTATTAAACAGCAAAGGTGCTACTAATATGGTAAAACGTCTTCTCTGTAACTTGACTATCGGACTCTTGTGTTTAGAACTCACACGACAGTGTTTACAACCATTTTCCATTTGTCTCATTTTGTTTGCCTATAATATTTGTTTTAGAACAGGTGAAAGGAATCCGTTTTGAAGATTGTAATTTGAAGACCTTTCCATGACAGGTAGGTTTACCCATTGTTGGCTTTATGGGTGGTGTGTGTGTGCGCGCGCTTTTAACCCCTTAAGGACCAAACTTCTGTACTAAAAGGGAATCATGACATGTCACGTGTCCTTAAGGGGTTAAATATCTTTTTATTTATTATTGTTTTTCGTGTGTGTGCGCACCACACACTGATGTCTATGGAAGATCCCACAAAACAATGGGAACCTCCATAGACTTCACTAAGCTTTAACTGCGAAAAAAAAACTAATTCCGACAGCCCTTGTGAGAGAGAGGCTGATGGATTTGACAGAACTTGCCAGTTGATTCACCACATGCATTTTAGGTAGACTGAATTGGAATTTCAATGAAATTCCCAAACCGTCAATATTAGGGTTTCAGAAAGATTAGATCATTTTCAATTACTTAATTTTTGTTGGGTGGCAGAGCCAGTATTTTTGTGAGGGTCACGTCGTCCTACAATTATTTATAGGAACACTCTGGACCCCTAAAGTACTTTCAGATATTTTAAATGCTTTCTGTGTGCCCTCACAGGTTTTTTTTGTTTTTTTGTTTTTTTCTCAATAGAAATTGGCATTGTTAAAAATAATCCTTGTTATACTCTTCTTGCTTTCATGCAGACCAACAGCAGCATGCTGCTTTTTTTAAAACTTTATTTTACTTAATTTTACTTTCTCCTGGGTTACTTATATGTGGCGAGCATAACTTTATGAATTGTATAGACTATTATGCTCACTACATGTATTTTTAGTACCAGTGATCTCATTGTTTGTTTTTAATTTATGTTCCAATAAATATTGGCTTGTGGATATTTCTGTAGTCCTGTATCCTTTCACTGGGAGGATATTCTGTACCATTGAGCCTTTTCTAGGGACCCTAGGACTGCTCTTGGTCATGTGAGTGGAATTCCACCTTTATTCCCTTACTCATTTTTTTTACAGATTACACTAGTTTGTTGTCTTTTTTTGTGTACAATAGTTTCACAGGCTTAGTTAACCTCGCGTTGTGCAGGACTGCAAGCCCAAAAGGAGGTACAATGGATGTTACAAATCTAGGAAACTCGATTGTCCCGCCATAAGAGATGCACTCTTGATCGGAGTGTGCAAGTTTACAGTAATTTTGCATTATAGTAAACAAGAGAGGTTGTAACATGAACATTACAGTAATAAATACCAGCAAACTAGTGGGGGGGGGGAGGGGAGAGAAAATAAAAGGGAGTTAGGTGGGGGGGAGGTAGAGTACACTGCTATGATTATATTATTTCTTCCAACTGGTGATTAGAACTCAGTCTTGCAATACTTGACCGTTGTGAATCTGTCCTTATCGTGGGAGCGTATCGGTGAAAGAGTCCCATTTCTCTCGAGCTATTTGGCAGAATAAGCAGCTTTTTAGTGAGTTTTCTAGTGGCTCTTTTCATTTTGCTTGTTAGGGCTATTTGGCTTAGCAGCTCTTCTCGGGGATGGGCTGTGGTAGATAACCAGTTACGTGCTAATAGCGTGAGTGCAGCCACAATAACATGGAATATTAACTATTCCATGGGGTGAGAGTCTGTGTTCGGGAGAATCAGAAGGAGACAACATTCTGGGGTATTGGGTAGTTGTACTTCTGTTCAGCTGAGAATGATATTGAGCGCTAGTACCAGACATTGCCACCAGATGTGGAGCATGGTACTCCAATTAGATTTACAGCGCTAGCACACATCTGAATATGCAGGTTTTATTTTAGCCAATTTTCCAGGAACCATGTACCATCTGTAGAGGATTTTCCTCAGAATTTTACTGTGGGCTGCATTTAAAGTGTTGCCACTAAATGCAGGAAATGCTTTGACCCACTATGCCCTCAAGATTGGGCGGCCAATCTCGGCCTCCCAAGCTCGGAGACAAGAATGGTGGGATGGAGAGATTTTCCCAGTGTTTACCCATTGTGGTTCTGGTCTAGTAAGAGCTGCTGTTATACTACTTAAAGGATCACTATAGTGTTGTGAAAACAAAGCGGTTTTCCTGACATAGGAAAGCCCGTTGGTCCCGGGCTCCCTCGGCGCTGGTGACCTCTCCTCCCCCGCCGCCGTCAGCTCCCCCGTCTGACGTCAGCGGAGCTGAATCCGCATGCGCGTCAAGTGCTGCGCGCGCATTCAAAGTGTCCATAGGAAAGCATAATATGCCTCCAGCGTCGCAGATGCGCCTCTAGTGGATGTCTGGAAGACAGCCACTAGAGGATGGCTTAACCCCAAATGTAAACATAGCAGTTTCTCTGAAACTGCTATGTTTGCATCTGAAGGGTTAAAACCTGAGGGACCTGGCACTCAGACCACTTCATTAAACTGAAGTGGTCTGGGTGACTATAGTGTCCCTTTAAAAGCGCAGCCTGATAATATTGTCTGATATTTGGTAGTCCCATACCGCCTGCGTTAAGTGGTGCGGTTAAAATAGAGCTACATTTCACCCAACAGCTTTGCTTTTTATACGGAGCTCAAATTCCAAGTTACATAACTACCCCAAGTTATACTTCACCCAAAACCCCCCTCTGATACACACGATCGGAAATCCAAGTATAAGAACCTTAAAGCACTGAACATAAAAGCCCATAACAACACTCACTGCACAGTACCCAGCAGGTCCAACCCAACACGAATAAACTAAAAGAACAGCTACACCAGGGCAACTAGAAGGGCAAATAATCAGGCTATCTACATGACATGTGCACCCTAAAAAGGTTAACCTGTACAGAATTTTACTGCAATGTGTATAACATGTACAGCATAGCTACAATGAAAACAAACGATTGTATTTTGTGATACCTCCCTTCCTATATGTAACCCCTACCCTTGTTTCACCAAAAATGAAATAAAGAATAAAAAAAAAAAAAATAGAGCTACATTTAGACGCCTCCCATTCCAGATAAACCTATCGACCACTTTTTGTAAGGTGGTGAACAACATTTTGGGTACCTTCAGTGGTAGGGTAGGAAGAGGTACTGTAGTTTGGGCAAAATGGACATTTTTATAGTAATTATTCTCCCAGTCCAAGATAAGAATTTACCCTTCCATGTTGACAGTAGCATTGTGAATGATTTTAAGTAAGGCTACTCTGACAAACTCCTATTTTCCTGTGAGTTTGCCACGAGTTTTTGGAGGGGCCTGTTTGCCAGCCTCCTACCATGTGACTATGGCCCCTGCACTAGACCTGGCTAAAATACTTGAAAAGGCTCTGTTCATGTGAAGTATTTACTTTTGTACTCCAGACAGGGAGACCGACTGTTAGCACTTATTCTCTGGAACTGTTTTGGGCATGGGTCCATGTGCATGGTCGGTCAAAAATAAGACTTCCAGGAATTTCCTGAACCCCTGCTCTGATCTGGGTGATTTTTGGATTTGTTGTTCACCCAGATCAGGGCTATCAGTGGATGTAATTTATGGGCATATGTTATGTTTTGGGGTACTTATGAGACTTTATAAAATTAGGTTGTTTTTTTTCTGCCTGGAGATAGTTACATAATGTACTTTACTCAATTATCTCCCATGCAGAGGGGAGGGATTGTGTGCTGTGTGTGGGAGTTTTGTACATTTAATTACTGTTCTGATTAGTTTGTAAGCTTTGTGTCCCTGTCCCCCACAAGGTCCATGTGGTCGTATACCTTGCTTGGGGACTTGCATTAAAGGCCAGCTGTGGCTTCCATTAAACACACTTGTTTTACCCTTCATGAAGTCTAGACTCATGTTTGGGGGATTGGAGAACTACATTCACTCTGGGGATTTATAATCACTATACTCCCCTGAGTATAATCACTAAGCTCTTGTAAGAGCTGTTTTATATTATCCTGTATTTGTGGGAGGGGTTACCTGGCTTAAATAACCAGCCAGGCCATAACTTCAGAGCTGTCTTCGCTCGATTGCACTGTCTTGGAGGATCCCTCACTTCTGGTTCTGGTCAGACCTGTACTGCAGCGGCCGGTGCTGCACGAGTCCTCCGACCTCCCGGTCCTTTTCGTGCTCTCCCCAGCAAGCAGGGTAAAGCAGTTTCACACTCCCTATAGGCTACAGCATCACTGTGGCAGGCGCAGCACAGCTTCCCGGACCTCACGGTCCCCTAGGGAACTCTCAGAGGACGCTACCAAGGGTCTCCCCCTCCACCTGGAACGGTTCCAGAGGCTCGTTAAGCCTGTCAAGGTAACTGCCCTCGCGGCCACTTAGAGCTACCCCATAGGCGGATGATTGCTGCTCAGTTCACTGCTACTTTAGCTTGACTGGGCTCTCACAATAAGCTTAGCCATCCTTCTTAAAGCAACCACACGTTGGCACTAAATTCCTCATATTTCAAGCATCACTAAACACATATTTCATTGTTACAATCTTGTACCGTTGTCATTGTTCAGTTTCAGTCACTATATACATGCTGCAGGTAGCTATTTGTGCTCTGCTGAAGGCTGGATAATTCCTTTTGAGTTGTTTTCCTTCTCCCTATTAACACCTTTGTTTGATTATACTGCAGAAGCTTACTTACTTGACCTCATTCCGGGTCAGGTGCATTACACACAAATTCTATGCACCTGCTATAACTTTACGTCAATTTGCGTTAAAACTGCGGTTACTCAAGTTTATAACTCTAATAGTCATAGTGTTGTATAAAAAATGGGGTCTGACTGCTAGGCTTCGTTTGTGGTTTACGTATATGTATAAAAAACCTCTGTTAGTTGTTGGATATGCCGGTAGTAGCTCACATTTGGCTCACATTTTTTTTTCAGATACTTCAACCCTCCCCCTGATCTATTACGGTCGCTCTCACACTACTTGTTTCTACCCGGTATTCATGGAAGTTGTGTTCATGGTTATGTTTTCTTTCTCAGCTACTTCCAGGAAGGCAGAGTTGTATCGTCTATTGTCAGCTCAGCCAGGCACCCCAGGACAGAGTTCCTGCGCACACGGGAACATTGCAGAAATTCATTACATGATCTTGTCCTTGGTGACGTCCATGCATTTGGTCAACCAGAGACTTGAGAAATTGGGAAACCTGCACTGCGGGGCCCATCCTACTGCTTGCTTCCCACCCAGGGTCGGAGGGTAACGTCACTCTAACTATTCTGCCCACAGCCACCTCCACACACATTATTACTCCCTACACCTGGTGCTGACTGCTCTGCATAAAGACATTCTAGATGGGAAAGACGTTAACCTAGTGTCTCTGCTTATCGCTTCCCAAGACATAGTTGAGAACAAAGCTTTCTGCTATGGTGACATTTCGGTCGTTCTCAAAGCCAGATATCCATGGTTAACCAAACTTTCCATCCCGGAGTTTGTATTGGCTTTCAGTCTTTTTAGGGGTGTAATTTAAATACGGTGATCATGCATTCTATGATTAGCATAGATCTTTTTCAGCTAGAGCGGCGGCAGCACTGGCCCAGTTCAACCTTCGTTTGGACTGGAGCCAGTTAGATACCAAACTATTCTGTTGCCACTTTCCTCGGCTAAGACCTCAGTCTTGCTCCATTTGTGCTTCAATTTCACACTCCACCAATCTGTGTCCCAGTGAAGCTGACTCTCCTACCACTAACCAGGTCTCATCTGGTAGCTTCAAACCCAAACAATGAGGTCTGAAAGATAAATTGGGCTGACTTATTGTGTTCCTCGTTAAGGCACAGATATGTAATAATTACAACACTGGCAGTTGCGTCTTCAGCGCTTGCCGTCTGTTGCATGTCTGTTCCTTGTGTTTCTGAGCTCACTCTAGGTCCATGTGCCCAAATAGGTTGTTCCCCAAAAAATGGCGCACGTAGATTAATATTGACAACCTGGCTTTCCACCTAATAAAAACACACCTCACCTAATTTGGTGGAGTACCTGATCACGGGGCTTTCACATCGGTATAATCACGCTGCCCCCAGGATCACTGGAATGTCACAACCTGCAATCAGCACTTTTTGAACCCAACACCATAGATCAGCTCTTGCAACAGGAAATCACACAGGGTTTCTTGCTAGGTCCATTTTCCAATCCCCTGTTTGAAAACTGACGCGTCAATCCAATTGGCATTGCTGCTAGCAGATTAACCGGTAAAAATAGATTGATCATTGACCTCTCCGCTCCACGTTCTTCTGTCATTCCCAGCATTAACGCTCTAATTCCTTCACTTGAATTTTCTCTCCATTACACTTGAGTAGATAACGCCATTCTGCGGATGGGCAGGGCAGCATGGCTTAGTAAGAAGGACATGAAATATGTGTTCAAACTACTTCCCATAGTTCCATCACTATGGCATCTACATGGAGTGAAATTGAGAGGTTATTACTACTTTGCTACCAGGTTGACCTTTGGGGCCAAAAGCAGCCCGATGCTCTTTGACAATCTCGTTTTTATTAGAATTTAAGGTAATGAATACAGAACAGAACACAACACAAAAAGTAAATCCCCGGCACTCAATTACGTGATGGTTGCGTTTTGCGGTTGCTTCGGTACCCGAGTGCTGCGTCCCCCTTCCACCTCTGCTAGAACTCCCCCTCCTGCTCACCATCTAGCCACCTTCCACCCCATCCCCCTTACCCCCTCAACCGGCTTCTATACGGTGATATGTAATACCAGATCCAGTATATGAGCGTTTGTTTGCTGCCCATCACACCCCCTGCTCGTTTCGCTATGGCTAGTGTTTCTAAGGCTCTTTGCCTTATGCGTCCCTACCCTAGGCGTCAGGGCCTGTGTAGCATGCCCTTCCTGTTAATTGGTTAATGTGGACATTATGCCGGGTGCCCCCACGACCACAGCAGGTGAGTTTTTTATGGAGTGGTCTCCTGCCACCACATGGCGGGAGTCCCCCAGAGTTTGTCTCCCTCTCCGATCCCTCCAGTGTATTCGTGGGACCTAGGACTGGGTCGTATCCATAACAGCTCGTTGTCCCCTACTCCTCGCCCCGCTGTCTATTTTACCCCAAACTTGCGCAGTATCGTCCCCCCCCCGTCCCTAGGCCCCAGAGCTCTAGTACCTCACTACCAAGCTTCTTGCAGTGTACAGCTTAGGTCTCCCCTGCCCCCTCTCCCTTCCTCCCCTCTCTCATCCCCTCTCCCCGAACAGTGCCTCTGCACTCCGTCCAGTGTCGGGAGTGTTAACTATCCGCCCGTCCCTGGTTAACATTGCTCTTGTGCTAGGCTTGTGCCCAGTGTGTCCCTGTCCCGGTCCCCCCGTTCCCACTACTCGTATCAGGTCGGGCGGGCCTGGAACATGGGGAGGTCGTAGCCGGTTCCCTCAGGTCATCTCCACCCCCCCCCCATGGGTCAGCAAGGCCGGCGGCACCTCCGTCTCCCCCTTCCCCCTGCGCGCCCCCCCGCCTTGCCCTCCTGGCCATGTAATCCACCCACGGGAACCAGGTCGTTGCACATTTGTCTGTGCGTCCCTGCAGGGAGGCCGTCATCATCTCGAGGTTATATATATCTTCCACCCTATCCACCCATTGTTGAAAGGTGGGGACTGTGCGACTTTTCCAGTGAATTGGTATTAGGGTTTTCGCGGCCGTTAGCAAGTGTATGGTCAGGCCCTTTTTATAACTCTGCAGCGGCGTTTGCGTGTGATTAAGCAACATCTGCAGCGGCTGCAGGGGGAGGTCTGCGTCCGAGATGTCCCTAATTGCTTCGTGTATCTGCTGCCAGTATGGTTCTATTAGCGAACACGACCACCATACATGAAGCCTCGTGCCCGGTTCCAAGCCGCACCTCCAGCACTCCCCGGGGATTGACTCGTGAACATGACGTAATGTATCTGGGGTTCTGTGCCAGCCAGTTAAAACTTTGTAGTTACATTCCTGATATTTGGAGCATATGCTCCCTTTGTGTGTCAGCAGAAAGATTTTGTCCCATTCGCGGTCTGTGAGAATCGTACCAGTCTCCTGCTCCCAGCGCTTAGTGAATCCCAAGGGGGTCCCGCTCCCCTGCTGCTGGAGCATTGCATATAACGTGGACACTCCGTGCGTGAGGTGTTGCCTGTCCACACATGCCCGTTCCAGCGGTAGCAGTGTTCTGTGGATCTTGCCTTTCCCCAGTAGGGAGAGGTAATACCTGTGCAATTGATGGTAGCGGAATTCATCCAATCCGGTCGGGGTGCGTTCTGGGATCAGATCCTGTAGTGGCTTGAGGGTTACATCATTACACCATTGCCGCAGGTAGGTCCATTCCGTCGCCGCGTAGTTCTTGAGGTCTGCCAACTTAAGTCCTCCCGCTAGCCGCGGGTTGTTAGTTATAGGAATCAGCGGGTTTGGCATCGTGGTCAATTGTTTCGCGTATCTGATCCTACACCACACTCGCAGTGTGGAGTCAATCATCGGATTTCCCGTGTGAATGTCACCCAGAGCAGTGCCGTCCAACCACAGCAGGGAAGGAATCCGTCCTTGCGCTTCTTGCCTCTCCATGTCAACCCACTGCTTGGTGGTCGGGTGCTTGCCAATCTACCAGACGGCATAGATGAGTCGCCTGGTAGTAGGTGATCACTGATGGGAGACCCGTGCCCCCCGCATGTTTTGGTCGCTCCAGGACTGACCTGCCAACACGTGCCGCTCCCTGGTTCCAAACAAATTTCCGTATGGTGGTTAAGGATTGAAAGAACGACTGCGGGATATACGTCGGCAGCGTCTCGAACAAGTAAAGGATTCTTGGCATCACATTCATCTTTATGGCGTTGATCCGCCCAGGAGATGTACTGGGAAGTCCATTTTTTCATATCCCCCTGTAGAATCGTGAGTAGAGGTGTAAAGTTGAATGAGTATACGTCTTTTAAGTCGTTTGGCAGCCATATTCCCAGATATTTGAGCTTCGACTGACACACCCGTAATGGGAAGTGCTCGCGAAGGTGCCTCAGCGTGGTGTCTCCTGAGGCCAACGGCATAGCCTCAGACTTGTCTAGGTTGAGCGAGAGGTTTGAGACCACGGCATATTCCCTGAACGCTTTCAACAGGTTAGGTATTGAGATCCGAGGTTGCTCCAAAAAAAATAGCATGTCGTCCGCGTAGGCCGCCACTCTATGTTCACTCCGACCCATGCGGAGCCCCGTGATACCCCCATCCCGTCTGACCGCCTCCAGAAATGGTTCTAGAGTGAGGGCAACCAGGAGGGGGGACAACGGGCATCCTTGCCTCGTACCGTTGCAGACCGTGACTGGTTCAGAGAGTGCGCCATTACCCTGATTCGCGCCGACGGCCTCGCGTATAATGCCGCCACCCAAGTGCGGAGGTGCTGCCCAAATCCCATATGCCTCATTGACTCCAAGAGGAACATCCAGTCCACGCAGTCGAACGCCTTTTCGGCGTCTGTAGACAAGAGCACCAGCTCACGCCTGTTGGCCTTCGCCACGTGTATTATCCTGGGCTTCCCTCCCCGGAATAAATCCGACCTGGTCGGGGTGTATGAGGTCAGGCGCCACCCGAGCCACCCTCAACGCCAGAGCCTTGGCGAATACCTTCAGGTCCGCGTTTAATAGCGAAATAGGCCTGTAGCTCGCGCAGCTCGTGGGGTCCTTGCCCTCCTTTGGGATGAGTGCTACCGTAGCCCTTAGTGTATCTGCCTGGAACTGGCCTCCCGTGCGCAACGAATTTCACCCCTCCAGGAGCCTCGGTAGTAGGACCTCCTTAAACTCGCGGAGGTATCCCACCGGCAGGCCATCCGGGGCCCTATTGGGCTGTGCTGCTTTCAGCGCTCCCGCCAGCTCCTCCAGTGTCAGGGGTTGATCGAGCTCAGCTTCCTGCTCCGGGGTTATCCTGCGGGCAACGTGTCTGCCCAGGTAGGTAGCGACCCGCACCTCATGCGGTCTTCTCTGGGAGTCGGATCGGGTGCCAGCTAGATCGTACAAGGCCTCGTAATATTTTTGAAATGCTCACAGAATGCCGTCCGGGAGGTGTGTGACTGTTTGCCCCTGCGTGCGAATCTTGTGTATATGTTGTGCCCTCCTCTTATCCTGTAGCATTTTTGCGAGCAGTCTGCCGCACTTGTTGGAATGCTCGTAAAAGAACCTTGCCGCCTTAAGCGCAGTATGGAGCAGGCCCTGGGTTAATATGGTGCGGAGCTCTCGTCGTGTCTCCGTCAAGATGCAGTAGGTCTCGTTATCTAACGTGCGCTTGTGAGCCTGTTCCAGCTCTGCCACCCGTCCCGCCAGCCGAACCAAACGAGCTGTGCGTTCCTTTTTACGTTTTGTGCTGATCGCTATGAGGCGTCCCCGGATGACACACTTGTGTGCCTCCCAGAGCGTCAATGGAGCTATCTCAGGCAAGCTACTAATGGTAGAGTAGTCCGTCAGGGCTTGCGACACCTCTGCCACCAGGAGAGGATCGTCCAAGAGGGTCTCATTTAACCTCCATTGCCTTTCCGTGGGTTTGAATAGGGGGGCACTCGTATGTACTATCATTGGCGCGTGGTCCGACTGTTCCATGCTCCCTATCTCCGACTCTTGCGCAAGGAATACGTAATCTATGCGGCTATAGTGAGCATGGACCGCCGAGTAGTAAGTGTAATCCCTATCCTCCGGATGGTTCGCCCTCCAGCAGTCCACCAAGCCCAATTTGTGTAGTTAGCGCAGCGTTGCCCGCAGGCAGTGTGTGGGGATCGCGCTGACACCTCAGGACGTGTCCCTATGAGGGTCCAATGGAAGGTTTGTCTCCTGCCACCACCAGCAGCCCCTCTCGAAATCTCCCCAACTTGGCTAACGTCTGCCCAATGAACGTATGTTGCCGTCTGTTGGGGCAATATAAGCACGCAAAGGTGTATGTGAAATCCGCTATAGTATCTTTGAGGAATAGGTATCGCCCTTGGGGGTCCGCTTGCATCCCCGTGCAGTGAAACTGTGTCGTGCTCGCGAACAATATCGCTACTCCCGCTTTTTTGGCCTCCGGGTGTCTCCCAGCTTCGGGGCATCCCCTTGACGAAAATGCGTCTCCTGCAGGAACACCACGGGCTTCTCCGGGATGTTTAGGCCTCTAACGTTGAGGGACCAGTAGGTTAGTCGGGCTGGGGTGAATCCCGCGCTGGCCCGCCGCGCCCCGGTGCGACCCACAGGGAGGAAACAAAAAAAGGGGGTGGGGGGGGAAGGAAGGGGGAAATTACTTATTGAGGATGTGACAGTGACCCTGTACCGGATCTCGTCGGTCAGTTGTGGAACGTCCCCTCCGTCCCCAAATGCCCCGGTATTATGTACAGAATGAGTCTGTCACAGTGGGGTTCTACCGTGTCTCCGTATATATGGAGCTGTCTCAGTCGTCTATATCGTGTCTACCCTCTCCTCCCGTGGCTCCCAACCTGCCAGTATCGCAATACTCCTGCGTTTGCCCTGGGGGCAACCCGCCGTCACGTGGGCAGCAGCCCTGCTCTCTAGGGACCTATGGACACCCCCGGTCAGCAGGGATCAGCCCAGTTGCACGACCGTCCATCTCCGGGTTACCTACTCCTCCCGCCTCGACCCTCTGGAGCCTCCGTAGCTAACAGTGCTCGCCTCCACCCCCCCACGACCCCCACCTCTGGAACCAGCCGCAGGGGGGCGAGCCGGTAATACAGGTGCCTTACCCCTAGCCATCCTCCAGCCACCCCAGGCCAGGTCCCACCTGTCTACCCCTGCCGTCCCCTCCAGCTGACGCCCAAGCTGGGCTTATTCCTTATAAGTACCTCCCTAACCGCAGGGACTCCGGCGCAACTCATCAGGCGCTTTAGCAACCCTATCTCCACCCGCCCACCTACCGTGTGCCAGGTTGAGGCCTGACCTCGGCCGGCGGGCCTCCACTCTCCCCCCGCTCTCTGAGCCCGCCAGGCCTGCTGTGACCGCTCTCAACCCCCCTTTACCTCCGTGTGTCCTCCGTCCACTGGCTCTAAAGGTGTACCCATTGAGGGTTAAAAAAACAGAACAAGTCTGCAGCACTCGAACTATGTACACCCAACCTCCGCGTCCCACAGCTCCCCTCCTTCTGCTCCTAGTGCGCCATGTGAATGGTGAGGCATCCCCCCATACCCCTGGGCGTACAGTGACTGCACATACCCCCGGGGACCCCCCAGATCAGGTCCAGCAGTCTCTCCCCGAGTCCCATCGGGCGCCAATGTTCAGCTCGCGGCCCGTTCCTCCCACCTCACCTCTCTTTTTCCCACGTCCAGCCCCCCTCTAGTGAGCCACCATCGCTCCCATAGGCCTACCTCAAGCCCCCCATACCCCCCACCCAACCTGCTGGAGCCCCGTGGGTACCTGCCCTCTAAATTGCCGTCCACCATGCCGTGTCTCTGGTCGGTTCCGTTTCGGGAGGGACCCGGGGAGCCCGTGTCCCAGCCGGTCAGGACAGTGTTCCGTCGGCTACTCCTCCGGTCCTGCTGGGCCTCCTCTGCATTGCTGCGGTCCGGGCGTCAGGCGGAGATTATTGGCCACTTCCGCCGGTCCTGTTGCCCTCGCCGGGGGTCCCTCGAGAATCCAGTTTGGGATCCGCACCTCCGGTAAGCCAGCAGCCACTAGAAAGCGCGGCACTTCATTCGGCCATCGGATGCTGTGCCACGTGGTTCCGATCCGCGCCTGCAGACTAAAAGGGAACCCCCACCGGTAGGGAATCCTCCGCTCCTGTAGCAAGCGGGTAAGAGGTCTCAGAGCTCTCCGGGTGTCTAAAGTGATCGGTGAGAGGTCTTGGTACAGCGAGACTGTAGCGTCCATGTATAGGATCCGTGGCTGCGCCCTGGCTGCCTGCATGATGGCCTCCTTAAGCTGGAAAGAGGCCAGAGCGCAGACCACGTCCCGTGGTAGGCCATCTCTCCTGGGTGCTCTCAAGGCCCTGTGGGCTCTTTCTATACCAAAATCGGCCGGGGCATTCTCCCTCAACAGCTGCGCAAAGAGGCCGGTAAGCAGCTCCTGCGGCACCTCTCCCTCTGCTTCCGGCAGGCCCCGTATTCTAATATTATGTCGCCGTCCCCGATTGTCTAACAGGATATTCCCCTGCCGGGTAGTAGCCAAGTCTGTGGCCTGTTGACGCTGATCAGCTTGCAGACGGTCGGCCTCAAGCCCATCCACACGCTGCTCTAGGGCATTAAGGTCAGTCCGCAGCACCGCCACCTCTTCCCTGATGATGGCGCGCAACTCGGACACCATGTCTGCCTTGTCAGCGCGCGTTAACATGCTGGCTGAGATCCGGGCTACATCTGCCGCTAGTTGGGTCAGGGTACCCGCCGTCGGCGAGCCTTTACCAGAGGTAGCCGCGCTCGATCCGGGAGATGTGGGCCCGGCGTGTCTGAGTCCCCGCCGTCGCGGAGGCCTCGTGGCGTCGCCAAAAACCCGTCCATCGAGCCAGGTGGGTATCGGGTCACCATCGGGCCGGGGTGGTCCTGGGATGTTGCTCGTTTAGTCTTCCCCATTTTTTAAAGAAATATCGCTGGTTTCCAGGCTGTAACACAAGGCTTGACAGGTTGGGGCCTAGGAGCCCTGGTGGAGTGCGACTTACTCCATTAACAGTCAGGCCACGCCCCCCGATGCTCTTTGATGTCTTTGCGGACACCCTATGTTGGCTCCTCAATATTGTCAAATGTCTGGTTGTGATCCATTACCCGGATGACTTATTGACAATTGAGGACGGGTCAATTAGAGGCTAGCCTCCCTGCGGACAAGTTCCTGAGAATCAGAAATGACGTGCATGAATTAATGAGGATCAGAGCTTGTTCACGAAAAGACTTACAATCTTTATAGGGCAGTCTTAACTTTGCCATGCGAATTATCCCTCAGGGTCGATAATTTAATTTATTCAGGCTGTTGTGCTTCCTACCTGGTGCCCCGGATAACCACAGCATGTATACCCTGGATTTAAACTCCCGAGCCAATTTAATCATGTGGCAACATTTCCTAGACAATTGGAATGGCAGCTCTATGTTTGTTCCCCCAATGTCCGATAAATCACCGGTCATTTGGACACAAATACTTAACTCTTTTTCCCAAACTACAAACCCTTCATGTCCACTTATCCTATAAAAAATTATACTTAAGGATGTTCAGCGGGTAGGCATCGTGTACGCACCTAAACGACAACCTGTTGACAGCCCCAGGTTTAGAGCCCTATCCGACATGCTAGACAGCAAACCATTTTACTCACAAGTTATTAAAGCAGCCTTTTATGGTTTCTTATGCCCCCTCGAATTTACAATAGGCTCCTCAGTGGAGGCACCACTATGTTTGAAATTCAGAGATCTCATTAAAACGGGAGATCATCAGAAGATTATCATCAAACACAGAAAAAGCAACCAAACTGGTACGGCAGTAGAAATTCCATTTTACCCCACGGGAAACAAATGGTGCCCGGTATCAATTCTAAACGAATATAATCAGACTTTCACAGCTTATTCATGCAATACACCATTACTATCCTTACACGAGCAACCCCTAACTACAACCAAATTCATGCTGTACGGTAGGACCCTATTCCTGAAATTAGGTTTTGACCCTACAACATTTTCAGGACTTTCGTTTAGGATAGGAGCGGCTTCAGCTGCATCAAGCAAGAATGTACCTGTTCACATAATCAAAAAACTAGAAAGATGGAAATCCTCTGTATATGTTGGATATATCCCACAACCAGAATTAGAAGTAAGGCAAGCATTTAAAAGTTTGGTATCATAATATGTTGTATAAATGCAATTAAGTGTGTATTCATTGAAACCTTTTGCCCTCTTTATTTATACAGGCTTATCCGAACGTCGGTTTTGGCACGACACAACAGAGTAATTTAAAAAAAGAGTCCTTGACTACAAATATATATTTACTATTTCACCGTGCCGTGGTGCAAACCCAAGTTGATATTTGTAGAATAGACAAAATGGTGTACTTGTAGGACTTTTTTCAATAACTGTGTTTAATTCAGTTGCATATCAAGATCTTGAGAAAGACCTGAATAGGTCATAATGTCGATCTAGGACGACACATATATGATATGTAACTGATATAAACCTATTAAAAAGAAAAATAGGACCTACAAGTGCACCCCTATCTATCCACACCAGTTTTAAATTTTCAGTGCCCCTCCCGAGATTGGGTTCTGGATCCGCCCCTATCTGTGACCTAGTAAGAGTGGAGGAATGTAAAGCCGGGTCCATAATGTGATATGGGTCCCCACAGATTAGAGTGATGCCTTTTTGAACATGATTAAGCTTAGCCAGGGTGTGTTGTAAGAAACTCAGTGGACCTGAGGTGGATAAAAATATACCTCGCAATTTGGTAAGGTGGGTTGCATGGTGTTGAATCGGATAGTGATTTAAGCCAAATGAGGGCAGTTTCACTTTCACAAAGCGTGTCGCTTGGAAAAATAGTATGTCGACCTGGTCATATCTAAGTAACAGTGGTCTTTTTTGAGGTATGTTAAGACCTCTTGCGTTATGAGAACTTTCATAAAGTGGGGTGTAAAGATCCGCTAAGGAACCAATGCTAATAACTATAGTGGCGTGGGCATATACTTCAGTAACAGGCAGCGTTGTGTTGGAGCTAAAGAACATGCATATTCATAACCTGTATTGCTACCGAAGAAGCTGGGGGCTGTTTTCTTGAGGCATGAAAGCTTAGGTACGGTTGACAGTCTGTGTTATCGGGGGTCATCGGCAGCAGCTGTAAGAGGCTAAAGGACCCTGGTTTGGTACAATAGTTAGTAAACTGCTTGGTTGGGTGGTAGGTGTGAGGAACCTCCCACTGGCACCATATAAAATATCAGGACCAGCCAGGAACCTCCGTTCAGTTGCGGGTATTTGATAGGGGGGGTGATTGAAAAGTTGACAAAAGTAAAAACACAGAAAAAAAGATATATACTTGATTATCCTGAAATATGGGTATAGTGTGGGTTTTCTATAGGGAACATGGAATATGGTCAAGAACAAACTGGGTTAGAGGGGGTTGGCCAGAAACATTTAAACAATACATTCACACAAGACATTCATGTCCGCCATGGAGTTGTGTGCTTCGGGGTATTTGCCCATTTTCTCCTACATATGAGCCAAGGTCTTGAATGTTCCTACACAATGCCTCCTCCAGGCCCGTCAGTGCTTTTTGGATCTCCGCGCCGGCCGTAAGTTTTGCCAATTTTTCTTGTTAAAAATTTATCTTTTCAGCTCTTTTGTTGGTGCTTCGATTTTTGCTTTGGGACATTTGTTATAGTCGATATTCCCGTGTCTCTGAACTCTTACTGTAGCATCTGACCTCTGGACACACCCCTTGGTTTTTTTTGGGGGGTGTCCTTTTTTTTTTCTTCTACTTTAGATACTGAATACTGTTTAAGTTGTACCTGTATACATTCCACTGTGGATTCTTTGGTATATATTTAAATATCTGGCTCACTGTGTAGTTTTGACCACAGTACACAAGGGGTTTTTGTTTATGCTGTCAAGCTGATATTTCTGAAGTCTCACGTGTACAACAGTACCTTACATCTACAGGTTTTATGGTGTTCTGGAAAGTTTCAGGGTTAAATACAGGGCTTGTAAATTAAATTAGTAATAATTATGGAAATATAGTAGATAAATATACATTGCAAAAAAAAATAATTAAAAAAAAATAAAATATATATATATATATATATATATATATATATATATATATATATATATTACACACACATACATACATACACACAAGTCTGTCGTGATCACATGCTCTGGAGGGCCTGAAAGGAAGTAGGGGGACTGCCTGTCTCCTGAGGCAGTTCCCACATGCCGGGAACGCCGCTGATCAGCGGGCCAGGTAAGTAAATGGCGGCTGGGGAGCGCAAGATCGTTAGGACGTACTATGCCACCCTAATGGCGTTTAGGCTCACTAAATGCGGGGCGGCATAGTGCAGCGTTGAGGAGTTAAATTGGCTTCCATATATAAATAATTGATGAGAAATCAAAGCCCCATTTCTCCTGATTAACATGATATGTAATAAGTGTGGGTGCACTTAATAGGAAAGGTAAATTATGGTTGAACAAACATATAGCTGAAATTCTAGGTTTTAGTTTTGTTTTTGTCAGAACTTGTTTAGTTGCCTCTGTCCTTAAGAGGTTAAAGGGACACTATAGGATCAGGAGCACAAACTTTCCTCAACCTATAGTGTTAAAACCACCATCTAGCCCCTCTGCCCCTTTAAATATAGTATTATTTTACCTTTTACTCCAGTCTGCTGCTGCTGGCTCTGCCCCTTATCTGCTTGCTTTGCTGCCATCATCAGAAGTAATGATCAAAGGCCAATTACAATGCTTTCCTATTGGAAAACACTGGATTGGCTGAACTTGTCAAGGATGCAGATCAGGGGCAGAGCCAGCCCTGGCCAATCAGCATATCCTCATAGTGACACATTGAATCGATTAATCTCTCTGAGGAAAGTTCAGTGTCTCGATGCACAGGGCAACAGGGGCTAAATATCAGTCATACTGTGCAGCACTGTCCCAGCAAGCATCCCTAGTAGCCGTCTGAGGAGTGGCCAGTGGAGGTATCCCTGTGCTGTAATATTAAACCCTGCCTTTTCATTGGAAAAAAAATAAGCTGTAGTTGTTCTGTGACTACAGTGTCCCTTTAAGCCCAGTTTCTACCATACAAGAGAATGTTCCCTTAGTATTGTATGTGTTTTGTTATAGTCACATATATATTGAAAAAAATGAAGTCTTTCTTTCAATAGACTATATTTATAGCTAATACAGCATTACGTGTGCATAAAATCAACTTGGTGTCCACATATTTTAATGTTTCAAGTTAAATCCATCCATCCAACTCCTAAATGGCAGAGAATTGAGCAGTGATGTTGCAGAGGCATGATCTATACAACAAAACTGCTTCATTAAGCTAAAATTGTTTTGATGACTATAGTGTCACTTTTAACCCCTTCCCGACCCAGGACGGTTCAGGACCGTCATCAGCATTTTTGCCTTGCAGACCGATGACGGTCCTGAACCGTCCTAACGGTCTCCGTTACTTACCTGATCGCCGTCGTTCTCCCGGCGGCGATCAGCGTGGCTCCGGTTGTGGGGAGACTGCCTGCAGCCCAGACAGTCTCCCCACACTGATTTAGGACCCCTGTGGCCATGTGATCGCTTAACACAGCGATCACATGGTCACAATAGGTGTCCATGTGTCCGCCTGCAGGGGGACTGCCTGTGCTGACAGGCAGTCTCCCTGCTAGTGTAAAATCAAAAAAATTCAATAAAGTTAATGTTAATAAAAAAAATAACTATATAGGTGTATATATGATATATAGACATATATTATATCTATATAATATGTGTCTATATATCATATATATAATGCCATACTAAGTGTATTTTTATATTAATATGTACTTATATTAATATAAAAATACACTTATAATTAAATTACACACGTGTGTGTGTATATATATATATATATAATTATATATATTGTGTGTATATATATATATAATAAAATATAAATAATAAGTAATTTAAATTAAATTTTTTTTTTTAATAATAAAAAATTTAAAAAAAATTATATAGCTATATGAAATTTTATTCTAACTGTATTTTAAAATTAATATATATATATATATTTATATCAAAATACACTTAAAATGAATTTGTATATATATCTATGTATATAAAAATAAATAAAAATAATAAGAAATATACATATGTCCATATACAAAATTACATAAATAATTATATAAATATACACGTAGACCTCAAATATATAAATATGCATATATATTTAAATTCTACGTGCGTATTTATGTAATATTTTTACATAATTCAGTAATTTTATTGATTGCAATTTGAGGGACCTGCCTGCCAACCCAGGCCGAAATTCCAGAGAATTTAATTTGCTAGCACTGTATTTTACCCTGTAACGTTCTACGACACCCTAAAACCTGTACATGGGGGGTACTGTTTTACTCGGGAGACTTCGCTGAACACAAATATTAGTGATTCAAAACAGTAAAACATATCACAGCGATGATATTGTCAGTGAAAGTTACTTTTTTTGCATTTTTCACACACAAACAGCACTTTTACTGATGATATAATTGTTGTGATACGTTTTCCAGTTTTTAAACACTAATATTTGTGTTCAGCGATGTCTCCCGAGTAAAACAGTACCCCCCATGTACAGGTTTTATAGCATTTTTGAAAGTTACAAGGTCAAATATATGGGTCAAATATTTTTACATTGAAAATGGCCAGGTTGGTTACGTTGCCTTTGAGAGCGTATGGTAGCCCAGGAATGAGAATTACCCCCATGATGGCATACCATTTGCAAAAGAAGACAACCCAAGGTATTGCAAATGGGGTATGTCCAGTCTTTTTTAGTAACCACTTGGTCACAAACACTGGCCAAAATTAGCGTTCAATTTAGTTTTTTTACTTTTTTCACACACAAATATGAATGCTTACTTTGGCCAGTGTTTTCAACTAAAAACTAAGACTGGACATACCCCATTTGAATACCCTGGGTTGTCTACTTTAAAAAAAATATGTACATGTGGGGTGTTATTCAGAGATTTATGACAGATAATAGTGTTACAATGTCACTATTGATAAATTTTAAAAATGTATGTTTTGAAACCGCAATATCCTACTTGTACCTATAGCCCTATAACATGCAAAAAAAAGCAAAAAAGCACGTAAACACTAGGTATTTTTAAACTCAGGACAAAATTTTGAATCTATTTAGCAGTTTTTTTCATTCGCTTTTGTAGATGAGTAAAAGATTTTTCAAGTAAAAGTCAAAAAAACATGTATTTTTTTCAATTTTTCATCATATTTTTTATTTTTTTTAAATTAAAATACATGAGATTATATAAATAATGGTATGTAAAGAAAGCCCCTTTTGTCCTGAAAAAAACAATATATAATTTGTATGGGAACAGTAAATGAGAAAGCGGAAAATTACAGCCAAACACAAACACCACAAAAGTGTAAAAATATGCCTGGTCGCAAATGTACAACATCGCAAAAACAGTCCAGTCCTTAAGGGGTTAAAAACATTTTTTTTAAATTCTTTTTTCATACGATAGGTGTAGCGGACTCAAGTCAACATTTGGGCTTGCGCAGAAGCCAGTATTTGAGAGGTCATTCATAACAATACAATATATAACTTTAGTTTACATGACATTCCTCTTTGTGATCACTTTGTGCCCTGCCTCCCATCGAGGATTTTTTGTTTAAACCAGGCAGTTTAGCTTTGTAAGGATCCCTAGCTCTACAAAGGCCAGTTTCGTCTTTAGGTATCCTCGTTTCATCGACAGTGTAATCATGCCTGGGTGAGTTAGAAATAAAAGTGAAGAAAAAAATGGAAAAGAGAGAGAAAAGAGAACGGTGCTCCCGTAAACCTAGGGATGGAATGAGAAGAAGCGAGCTCAGAAAGAAAGAGTAAAGTCGAAGGAGGTGGGATAAAATAGGGAGCTAGAAGAGTGCAAGTGCAAGAGTGCATATGTGCAAGTTTTTACATTCTGTTTTGTGGTGTTTTGTATTTTAACTTCTTTTTGAATTTCCATCATTCCAGATGAAACAAAGCAATATTTGAAACCATCCAATGAAGAATGCATTTACCCAGGAATAACTACATTAAGAAACAGGTATGTAAATGGTAATTTAAAAAAATGCAATATTTGAAGCATTTAAAGTGGCTCTTTCACCTCAAACTTGCCATTCTCCTATTGTTTCCTCCTTTATGGATGCCTTACCCTTGGAGGCTACACCAGAAAAATGTTGGCCATGACAGTCTGTGTCTGTCAATTGGAAGCAGCTTTGGAAGCTTCTCTTTTGAATTGTATGTTAAGCTCTGACCTTGTGAGATCAGCGATCCTCCCCCATTTTATGTTTTTTATGCTTTTTATGCTGAAGTGGTATATGCAAACCTGACTCTATAGTGTTAAAACCACCATTTAGGTGGCTTGCCTCCATTAGCCTCCTTAAAGAGTAATAAAAGTTACCTTATTTTCAGCGCCGCGTGGGTCCGTCGGCACCGGCCCTGCCCCCTGTCTGACTCCTTGCTGACATCATCAGAATTTATGAATTTTAGTCAGTCTAATGCTTTCTCTGAAAAGGCAGTGTTTGCATGAAAACGTCTGCCTCGAATGATTAAACTGTCGTTGTTCTGGTGACTATAGTGTTCCTTTAATATTGCAGAAGTGTTGTGCAATCCATATAATGACACAGTTTTATTCACTACAAGCCAAGACGCATGCCACCTACACCTCTACCACAGGTTTTACTCTAGTTCAAGTGAAGTGTGTACCCCAAATGCCACATAACCTAACATAACTTGGCAAATTCACTGGGTATCTTTTAGCCCAGCTCAGATTTTGGACCGATAACTTGTTTACAACAGCCACCAAAGCAAAATATAGATTCAGCTGTGTAGCTTCCTGCAACCCTTAGGAGTTAAAAGAACGCTTTGACTTGTTACCTGGGGTGTGATAAGTACCTGTGCAGGACTTGGCTCATGAGCTGAGAGCAGTCAGGTGACCAGTGGTGACTTTAGGAACAATAGATATCACAATTGGTGATAAAAACATATCTTTTTCCCTGCATCTTGCGCTTTAATCACTGCTCTGCCTCCCATGTCTGGAGTCACAAGTCAAGATGGGCGGAGAGAGATCAGGTGAGGACAGGTAGATTTGTGTGCCATCAGCATATTAATGATAATGGAAGCCAAATGAGCTGATGAGTTTAGGAAGGGAGGCAGTATAGATAGAGAACAGTAGGGGAGCAAGGACAGAACCTTGGAGATCGGAGACAGAGAAGGGTTGGGGAGAAGAGGCAGAGCCAGAGAAAAAAACCACTGAAAAAGCGCTGGGAGAGGTAGGAGGAGCACCAGAAGAGAGCAGTATCTTGTAGACCGAGATTATGGAGAATGAGAAGAAGCTGTTGATCAACAGTGTCAAAGGCAGCAGAAAGATCATGGAGAATTAGGATAGAGTAATGGCCGCGAGATTTAGCAGCGACTAAATCGTTGTATACTTTGGTCACAGCTGTTTCAACAGAGTGGCGAGCACGGAATCCAGACTGAAGTGGGTCAAGCAGAGAGTTGGATTCGAGGAAGTCTGTCAATCTCGCGTACACAATTCTCTCAGGGATCTTGAAGGCAAACTGCAATAGCAATATAGGGCGGTAGTTGGATGGGGAGTTTGGGTCGTGGTTGGGCTTTTTAGAGTTGGAGTTATGGATGCATGCTTGAAGGGTGAAGGAAATGTGCCGGAGGAAACGGAGAGATTGAAAACTTTAGTGAGAGGAAGAGCAAGAGAAGGAGACAAAGTGCGGATAAGATATGAGGGAATAGGATCGAGGGAACAGGTGGTGGGACTGGAGCAGAGTTGAAACCTCTTCTGTTGTAGTAGGTGCGAATGAGCATAGAACTGTGGAGTGAGTGGGGTTGGGTGATGTATTGGAAGGGTAGGGAGAGAGATTAGAGATCTCTACCCTGATTATAACTCACTTCACTGAGAAGATTTCTACAAAGTCTGAGGGGGACAGGGTGGTAGGAGGAGGGGGAGCAACAGGGCAAAGGAGCATTAAAAGTGTGAAAAGGGCATTTGGGTTGGCGGGACAGTGTGCTTATTAGGGTGTTGAAGTAATTTACTTTGCAGAGGAAAGGGCAAGAGTGTAGGAGCATAGCATACATTTTTTTTTACGTTATTTTTTTTTTATAATTCTCTACTTTCAAAGTGCAGAGTTAATTACACAAAGTAATATTGCTGAATGAGATGACAGATGTTGTACATGTTAATGACAAGATATGCTGCACTTTTTTTTTTTTTTAAAGAAAAGATAACAGGACAATCGATTCAAACTGACAACAAGTACTGTTATAAATGCATGAAATTCTAGTAGATGCTTAGTTAACTGAGATCGCAATCTTGTTATCAGGAAGGCCCAACCACGCACGCGTGGAAAAGTTAAAGGCATTAGTGGAATGTGAGCTGTTATGGGGTTGAAAATACAGTCCACTTAGGCTAATTGTGGCCTTTCCTCAGTTTGACCTTGCAATATTTAGAATAAACAAAAGGAAAACGAAAAACAATAAAAAAAAAAAAAAAATTAAACATGAAGAGTGTAGCTTATACAGCCTGTCGCCAAGTTCAGCCAATGCCTTGGGGGAGGCAATATAGAGCCCTGAGAGTTCCAGTATTGGGCCTGTCTTCTTGCTGGCTTGGGGGTATGTTGTAGATTGACCAGAGCAGGACCCGCTCAACGGGGCCCGATGGATCCCCCTCGCTGTCGCCAGAAACTAGTGTGAATATGGGTGCAGGTTCTTCAGGAATCCTGTGTATGACAGTGCCTGGAAGCTGGACTGGGTTTCTGTTTTCTTTCGTTGGGTGGCAGCCGCCTCTTGGTGTGGACGCTTGGGTTTGCTTGCGGGTGGGTAACGTCGCAGTCTGTGGCTCCATTTACAGGTCTGCTTCATCAGGCTATGTGAGCCTTTCAGATGAGAGCAAGAGGGCAGTGCCACAGGTGAGTACCCTTCTGGAGACTGTGTAAGAGCCTGCTGTTCTCTCAGCTCTAGCTGTCTCCAGAAGGCTGTGAATACTGCATCCAGCCATGCTTGGAGGTCAAGCCCCTGTGCTGTATCATTATTCCTTGTGACGGTCTCTGCCATTTTGAGGCCAGTAAGCTTTGCCTGGGGATGCTGCCACAGGGCTCGGTGGGGCCCTCCCGCAACAGGGGAGCGTTTGGTGCCAGTATGTGCCCCTTGATATCACCTCACGGTTGGTTGCCCATTTGTGGCATTTAAAGGCTGTTTGTGGCTTGTGGTCAGCAATGTATGCCTGGAAGAGCAAGAGCAGCACTACCCTGCGTCTGCTCAGCTCAGCCGTCAGGCTCTGCCCCCCAGGAGCGCAACATAAATTTATAGTGGATAAAGTCAGATGCAGAGTGAGAGTTTCTCCAACAGCGTTCAGCAGCTCTGGAACATTTTTGGAGATATTGGGTCAGCTTGGTGTGCCAGGGTTGTAATTGGTAATGCTTGCTATGTTTAAATGTAGGAGGTGCCATGATGTCTAGTTGAGATGAGAGGTTGCAGAGTTATGGCAAGTGAGATTTGAGATGGGTAAAAGGAGAGTTTGGAGTTTGGTGGAGAAATGCTGGAGATCAATGCTGTGGAGGTTTCTGCAAGATTAGAGAGTTGAGGGTGGTGAGATTTGGGTATGGGACATGCCGATGTCAAAGTTCAGCACATGGTGGTCAGATAATGGAACAATGGAGAGATTAGAGGTGGTACAGAGATTGGTGAAGATGAGGTCAAGAATGTTTCCTATGAGTTTCTGAAGTAGATTACTGTGTGTGGCCAAAGGAGGAGGTTACAGAGACCAATAGGTTTTTTTACAATCTAGGCCCCTGCGTTCTGCCAAAGACCTATGTCTATCCTCTATCCGTACTCTCTCATCTGATGCTCACCTCCAAGACTTCTCCAGGTCTGCACCTTTTCTGTGGAACTCCCTTTCCCGTTAGACTTTCACAGTCTCCACTCCTTCAAAAAATCTTTGAAAACGCACTTCTTCAGGAAAGCATATCATTTAAACTGTTAGTGGGTTTTTATTCTCCTCCCCCATTAAACCCTTTGTGTCAATATACCCCACTCTCTCTAGCATGTAAACTCATTGAGCGGGGCCCTCAACCACTCTGTTCATGTGCATCCATTTGTCTGGTTACAATTATGTGTCTGTATGTTCACCCATTGTACAACGCTATGGAATTTTGCTGGTGCTATAGAAATAGTAATAATATCAAGACTACCATACAGCAGCTATACACCAAAAATGAAAAAGTGCCCTTTACCAAGAAAGCACAGCTATATTACTACTTAAAGGACCACTATAGTTCCAGGAAAACATACTCCCCTTTCCCCGGCTCTGGAAGGGGGAAAGGGGGTAAAACTTATCTTTTTCCAGCGCCGGGTGGGGAGCTCTCCTCCTCCGATCCTCCTCTTCTCCTCCCCATCGGCTGAATGCGCACGCGCGGCAAGAGCTGTGCGCGCATTCAGCCGGTCACATAGGAAAGCATTATCAGTGCTTTCCTATGGACGCTTGCGTGCTCTCACTGTGATTTTCACAGTGAGAATCACGCAAGCGCCTCTAGCGGCTGTCAATGAGACAGCTGCTAGAGGAAATAGGGGAAGGCTTAACCCATTCATAAACATAGCAGTTTCATGAAACTGCTGTGTTTATGAAAAAATGGGTTAACCCTAGCTGGACCAGGCACCCAGACCACCTCATTAAGCTGAAGTGGTCTGGGTGCCTAGAGTGGTCCTTTAAGGAAAGCACTGCCACGCATGCGCATTAGGTCCCCCCTGCCGGTGGACGCTGGTGGATAGGAGCGTGGGCAGAGCTGAACCAGCGCTGATGGGACATCGGCGCTGGATTCAGGTTAGTGACTGGGAGGGGTTATTACCCCTTCAGCGACGTGGGAGGGGACCTTTACAGATAGGGAAGCTATAGTGCCAGGAAAACTAGTTTGTTTTCCTAGCACTCTTGTTTCCTTTTAGTGTAGCTAAAAAAAAAAAAAAGCGTAAATATAATGTGACAAGCAATGTAGCACACTCTCAAGGATGTATCCAGGCCAGGCTCTCGGTATAAACGCTGTGGGTTATGCAGGCTACCTATTGACTTTTGTTAATCTTCTTCTAACTGGGTCTTCCACATCAAGTTAGGGGTCTCCGTTTTGCTAAATTTTTCCACAAAATTAAGCTATTGGTTAGGACAAACTGTATACCTTTTAAGTATTGCCTAGGAATATAGGGTGGGAAAAGTACAATCTTAATCATGGCCCCTGTTCATAAACATTGGCTGAAAAGGGGAGTTTTTACATTTAGGTTATAGTAAATGTTAATCTTGTTCTTACCGTTTAAGTCCCTTTACCTAAAACATACTGATTAATGTGAGACTATTTTGCAGTATGCATTATGAACTTTGAACACCGATGGAACTGTACATGACATAGTCAGATGTATCTCAGGAAGTGACAAGGTAAGTGCATGCTGTGGGTATGTTTGAATGGGCCAACATTTTGAATTAAAGCACTTTGTTTCATTGTGATATTCACTGTTCCATTGTGTTTTGAGCTGTGAAGTGCACCTTGCAGTAATGTCATCATTATGTTTTTTATTTTTTATGATGTGTATATAAAAAAAAATCAGTTTTGATATAACTGTTAGTATATTCATATTTACATTTTGCTACATTCAATTAGTATATTATAATTATGTATTACCATTTGTATAGCAACAGATTCCACAGTACCAATTATAGAAAGTGTGTATACTCAAACAAGCTTACTTGAGAATTTGAAGTGGGCAAGACACCTAACTATATGTGTTTGCCTACTTCAAATCCTCAAGGACACTTACTGGTAAGGTGGTCTGACTGGGAATCAAACCTGAGTTTCTCTGTGCTGAGGCAGTGATATTACCACTGCTTCTTATTTCATGAAGAATAGCCTTTGGACTACAGGGAGTGCAGAATTATTAGGCAAGTTGTATTTTTGAGGATTAATTTTATTATTGAACAACAACCATGTTCTCAATGAACCCAAAAACTCATTAATATCAAAGCTGAATATTTTTGGAAGTAGTTTTTAGTTTGTTTTTAGTTTTAGCTATGTTAGGGGGATATCTGTGTGTGCAGGTGACTATTACTGTGCATAATTATTAGGCAACTTAACAAAAAACAAATATATACCCATTTCAATTATTTATTATTACCAGTGAAACCAATATAACATCTCAACATTCACAAATATACATTTCTGACATTCAAAAACAAAACAAAAACAAATCAGTGACCAATATAGCCACCTTTCTTTGCAAGGACACTCAAAAGCCTGCCATCCATGGATTCTGTCAGTGTTTTGATCTGTTCACCATCAACATTGCGTGCAGCAGCAACCACAGCCTCCCAGACACTGTTCAGAGAGGTGTACTGTTTTCCCTCCTTGTAAATCTCACATTTGATGATGGACCACAGGTTCTCAATGGGGTTCAGATCAGGTGAACAAGGAGACCATGTCATTAGATTTTCTTCTTTTATACCCTTTCTTGCCAGCCACGCTGTGGAGTACTTGGACGCGTGTGATGGAGCATTGTCCTGCATGAAAATCATGTTTTTCTTGAAGGATGCAGACTTCTTCCTGTACCACTGCTTGAAGAAGGTGTCTTCCAGGAACTGGCAGTAGGACTGGGAGTTGAGCTTGACTCCATCCTCAACCCGAAAAGGCCCCACAAGCTCATCTTTGATGATACCAGCCCAAACCAGTACTCCACCTCCACCTTACTGGCGTCTGAGTCGGACTGGAGCTCTCTGCCCTTTACCAATCAGCCACGGGCCCATCCATCTGGCCCATCAAGACTCACTCTCATTTCATCAGTCCATAAAACCTTAGAAAAATCAGTCTTGAGATATTTCTTGGCCCAGTCTTGACGTTTCAGCTTGTGTGTCTTGTTCAGTGGTGGTCGTCTTTCAGCCTTTCTTACCTTGGCCATGTCTCTGAGTATTGCACACCTTGTGCTTTTGGGCACTCCAGTGATGTTGCAGCTCTGAAATATGGCCAAACTGGTGGCAAGTGGCATCGTGGCAGCTGCACGCTTGACTTTTCTCAGTTCATGGGCAGTTATTTTGCGCCTTGGTTTTTCCACACGCTTCTTGCGACCCTGTTGACTATTTTGAATGAAACGCTTGATTGTTCGATGATCACGCTTCAGAAGCTTTGCAATTTAAGAGTGCTGCATCCCTCTGCAAGATATCTCACTATTTTTGACTTTTCTGAGCCTGTCAAGTCCTTCTTTTGACCCATTTTGCCAAAGGAAAGGAAGTTGCCTAATAATTATACACACCTGATATAGGGTGTTGATGTCATTAGACCAAACACCTTCTCATTACAGAGATGCACATCACCTAATATGCTTAATTGGTAGTAGGCTTTCGAGCCTATACAGCTTGGAGTAAGACAACATGCATAAAGAGGATGATGTGGTCAAAATACTAATTTGCCTAATAATTCTGCACTCCCTGTATAATGTATTGTAATTAGAAAATTACCCATAGATTTTTTTTTTTTTTTTTTTAAACCTAAAATTTAATTTGGGGGGGGATGTGTGTCTGTGCCCGCATGTGCTCCTGTGGGGTGGGGGAGGTGTGTGCTGACTGCTCGTGGGTGCGTGCGCGTGTGCTGGCTACTTGTGGGGGGGAGTGCGCGCGCATGCTAGGTGCTCGTAGGGGGATGTGTGTAATTGTGTGTGTGCTGGCTGCTTGTGGGGGGGTGGTGTGTGTGTGCGCGCGCTGGCTGCTTGTGGGGGGTGGTGCGTGTGTGTCTTGGCGCTGGCTGCTTAGGGGGTGGTGTGTCTTGGCGCTGGCTGCTTGTAGGGGGTGGTGTGTCGCGCTGGCTGCTGGCTTGGCTGTAGGGGTGGTGTGTCTTGGCTACTTGTAGGGGGTGGTGTGGGCTGGCTGTGGTGCTGCTGGCTGCTTATGGGGGTGGTGTGTGTGTGCTGGCTGCTTGTGGGGGTGGTGTGTGTGTGTGCTGGCTGCTTGTAGGGGGTGGTGTGTGTGTGTGTGTGTGTGCTGGCTGCTTGTGAGGGGGTGGTGTGTGTGTGTGTGTGTGTGCTGGCTGCTTGTGGGGGGGTGGTGCGTGTGTGCGCCCGCTGGCTGCTTGTGGGGGGGGTGGTGTGTGTGTGCTGGCTGCTTGTAGGGGGGTGGTGTGTGTGCTGGCTGCTTGTGGGGGGGTGGTGGGTGCTGGCTGCTTGTGGTGTCTGTGTGGGAGCAGCCTGTGTGCACACACTCCACCCCCCCACGAGCAGCCAGCACACACAGACCACCCCCCACGCGCAGCCAACGCACAGACCATCCACCCACCATGCGCACCCAACACTCACCCACCCCCCGGGCAGCCAACACGCACCCATCCCCCCTATGAGCAGCCAACGCGCACCCCCCACGAGCAGCCAGCGCGCGCGTGCACACCCACACACACCAGCTGTGTGTTGGTTGGGTTGTGTGTGTATGTGTTGGCTGTGTGTGGGGGGGTTAGTGTTGATGTGATGGCTGTTCGTGGGGGCTACCCAAGAGTTCCCTTGCACACAGTACCTAGATCTTATTTCAGGGTTTGTTTCTGAATATTACCTCTGTGAGACACACTTTTGCTTCAGCCTTGGACTGCCTGTGTTTTTTTTTTTTTTTTTTTTATTCTTTATTTTTGTTGTGCACATTATAACAGTAAACTTGTTCAACCACGATAGCAGTCACAAGTAGGATAGTAGTTACAGACATTATAAGTATGGCGTGGAATACGAGTATGCAGCACGTTTTTTTTAAAATTATAATAAGAGAATAAGTTGACAGTGGGGAGACAGAACATTGGATAAAATACAAGCTTTTCTAACTGTCTATAATATAAGGGTATGTGAAGGTTCCAACGGTTATGGTACATGCTATTTTGGTTAAAAGATTTGTGTTTTTGTACATGCTTTAGTGTAAGTAGGGTTATGCCCTGTTGTAGTGGTGCACCCCCCTTTTCTTTCTTTACCTTTGTGTTTTGCGTTATAATAGGGTATATGTTAGTGTATGAGGTTTTACGATTTGCAGGTGCTAGGTGTACCTGTGTATTGCGTCGTTTTTCTCTAAGGCATTCGACCCAGGGGCTGCAGCTCACATAGCTACATAGTGTATTATCTTGTGTAGCCTATGGGCATGCGAGGGGCACTATGAGGCCTAATGTGGGCGTAGCAATTATAGTCGATATAGTGTGTTTTAGGTGTAGTAAGGCTAGATTATGCGCAGGCTGGTCCGCCGGTCTGTCACTGCTTATGTGTTCTCACGTTTGGCTGTGTGATAAGAAGTTTGTGTGTATACTTGGGCTAGTGAGGCCTTCATTTCTGAGTGGGCTGCTTTATGGTTTTCGCCCCTTTATTGGTGTGTGTTGTGTCCCATAGCACATTGTGGAGTAATCATTAGGTAGCGTTAAAGTAAACAACGTCAACATTAGCAAAATAGAAGTAAAATATTAAAGATTTGAAGTTTTAAAGTGTAAAGTCACAGATGAGAACTATGAACTCAGCGGTAATATGGTCGGGCAGTCTTTTTGGCTTATTTTCCCGTGCTCCCATCCGGATCTCAGGTACCCATCGCGTGGCGGCCGGCCCTCTGCGCTTTAAATACGGTGGAGGACGAGGTGGGGACCCAGGATGGCTGGAATGCTTGGACTTTGGCCATGTCCCAGAAATGAGGGGGTTGTTGTCGTCTCGGGACTTGGATGGTGCTTACCGGGTTCGTCGGTATTCCCAGCGCGGTGAGAACTGAGTCCACTTCCGCTGCGTCCGTCAGGCGGGTTGTTGCGCCCCCATGTGAGATAACCAGGCTCCTGGGAAATGCCCATCGATATGTGATAGTGTTGGCGGAGCATGGCTGTCAGTGGCTTGAGCCGGGTTCTCATATCACTGTGGGCCTGGACAAGTCCTGATAAAAGGATAAGGTGGCATTGTCAAATGGGTAGTTTGCTTTGTTTCTCACGGCTGCCATAAAGGTCAGTTGGGCTGACCGTGTTCGTTGCTGTAGGATGACATCCCGTGGGGTGTCTGCTGGTGCTTTGGCGGTTCTTGGGATTCGGTAGGTCCCATCTATCTCAGCTAGGTCTGTTTGTTGTGGTGAGAGCAGGCAGGTGAGCAGTCTCCCAATGTAGGCGCACCCATATCGTACTGTTTGTTCTGTGCTCCTTCTTATCATTAGGGGATTAGAGGGGATTCCCCTTTGAGGTGTGCAGCCTTCTTTTGCTGTGGCCATTTAGCGCTGATTTCCTTTCCTGTTTTTCTAATTCCCGACGTAGTGTGTCTGGTCACCTGAGGCCACAGTCTCCGGGAAACCCCGAATTTTTAAGTTTCTGCTCCTGTGCCGGTCTTCTAGTGCGTCTAGGCGGCTGGTGAGTTGAGACTGGTCGCGCCGTAGCTCCGTGTTTTGGGCTTCTAGTTGTGTACATCGGGCGACGAGTTCCTCCCTCTGTTGTTTTGACGCGCCCCTCCACCGTTTGTATTTCTTCTCGCAGTGAGGCCACATCTGCGGCAAACATTGTGCGGAGGTTGCGGAGCAAGGCTTTAATATCTCCCTTCGTGGAGGACAGCTCGCTATCATCGTCGGAGGAAGGGAGTTGTAAGCCCCCTGAGCTCGGGAACTCATCCAGCTCATCCATTGCTTGGTCCTCGGAGGATGCTAATGGTTTTTTTTGTGGTTTGGGGCCTGTGCGAGTCGGAGGAGAAGACCCCCGATGTCTGGTGTTTTGACTTCTTCCCCATCTCGCTGTGACCCGATAGAGGCTGAGGTTGGGTGGTTCAGGTGGTTAAATCGCTTATTTCAGGCTTATTTCTGCGGAGATCTTCTGGCACCCGTCTGCTCTGTATGGCTGCTGGCTGCGCCCCGCCGACTGTGTCTTTTTAAGTCACAAACTGATGCTGAGTGGATGAATGTTCTGGGTCTTATGGTAATTTTCTCCAGACAGTGCATAGAAGAGTCTAGTTTCTGAATTTTTTAATACATTTTCACTGACATATTTCCCAGCATGTATACCATTGAACATGCACTGGCCCGTATTTGTCCTGTGGATAGCTGTGCAGCATTTTTCCTGGAAAGTTTACAATGGTTTTTGAGCTGTCTCATATTTTGTTTTGTGTGCTTCCCTTTTTCCTCATCCCTCCTCCCACCCTTTTTCGAATCTGGTTAAAGTAGACTTCTGTATTTACTTGTGCAGGAGATGGTGGTTACTTATTTTTGTACAAAAGAGGGGGACCATTTCATATTATTGATGAGAATAGGACCGTAAAATATTATGTGGAGGCTACTAAGTTGTTCATGAAAGTATGACTACATGTTTGTAAATTTTTGTGGTCTGAGAAAAGATGCCTTGTAACCTATGATACAGTGGACTTATTTTTGGTCTATTAAGCCAGTGCCTGACTCATTACTGTCCATTCTATTACAGCTGTGTCTTCTCTATGGTACTATTATCGTGAGGCATCAGGAGGCCACTGAAGCTTCAATTTTTGGGGAGGTCAAATTGTATTGTTTTGATGTATTTGCATTTACTTTCATTTTGCTTAGCTGGAAAGTTTGCTTATACATTATGGATTCCATGGACCAGATTTAAAGTGATAAATGAAATGTGCTTACCAATAGATCACTTGACATTTGTGTGGTCACTGTTCACGTGGCCCTTGTCTGTTTTGAATCCTTAGGTTGCTTGATGAATTTACTTATGAGTTTCTTTGGTTTCCTACCTGTGTCTGTGTTTGCATGCATGGCTAAATGTTTACCTGGGTATTTTTTCCTGTGAGATGCGCTGGAAGTAAAATTTGTGCCAAACCTTCTGGAATAGGTGTTTACCGCTTTATCTCTAGAGAAATTGCTTCTACTGAACCAAGACTGCACAGATGAAAATGAATTTGAGAAGTATATAGATATTGTTTTTGTTCTGAGAGGCAGTCAAAATAACTGGTTTAGGTGAATAAGTCTATGCTGACTTTTTTTTTTTGGCAACTTATTTTACCAATGCTGAACTTAATCTAATTGTCTCTTTTCTTTCACCCAGGTTTTTTTTTAAAAATGGTTGGAGGACAGCAACTGGAAATGTGTGATATTCAGACATCTGCATTACAACTTCAGCCACCGGTACAATCTGCAGAAATAAGTGATAATCAATATGAGTGTCACGAATGTGGCAAAGTATTCAAATGGTCTTCTAGGTTGATCCATCACCAAAGAACTCATACTGGTGAACGACCTTACAAATGCTCTGAATGCCCAAAGGCATTCAAAGGCTCTTCTGCACTACTTTATCATCAAAGAAGCCATACTGGTGAACGTCCTTATAAATGTACAGACTGTGATAAAGCTTTTAAACGCTCTTCACTTTTGCAGATCCACCAGAGTGTTCACACAGGATTAAAGTCCTTTAAGTGTAACATTTGTGGAATGTCTTTTAAATGGTCCTCCCATTACCAGTACCATGTAAGGCAGCATACAGGAGAGAGACCATATAAATGCAATGTCTGTGATAAGGCTTTTAAGAATTCATCTAGTTTAAGACGGCATAAAAATATTCATACAGGAGAAAGACCTTATGTATGCAATGTGTGTGGAAAGGCTTTCACGCAGTCTACTAATTTGAGGCAACACCAGCGCATTCACACTGGGGAACGTCCATACAAGTGTAATGAATGTTCCAAATCTTTTACACATTCTTCCAACCTTTTGCTCCACCAACGCACACATAGCGGAAAGTATACACATAAATGTGACTTGTGTAGTAAAGTTTTTATTTCAGATTCTTTTTTGCAAAAGCATATGCAATCTCATACCATTGAGCAAGCATTTGTACAATCTGATTCGGAAGTATTCTTGACTACTGCAGCAGCAATGGAGACTGTGGAAATGCTTTTTAAATGTGTAGTCTGTGATCTGACATTTAAAAATGAAGATTTGCTTGTGAGTCACCAACAAAGTCACGTGGAAGAGCAGACATATTCTTGTACAACATGTGATAAAATATTCAAAAATTCCTCAGCATTTTCTCGCCATCAGCATTGTCATGCCAGTGAAAGACCTTACAAGTGTTCAGTTTGCGAGAAAACATTTGTACAACTACCCAATCTGCTTGTACACCAAAGAACCCATACAGAGGAGCAACAACTAATTCAAACTGAAGCTGAAGTCACATGTCCGCAGTCAACTGAGGTAGTTCAGCCTTCCAGTGTTACAGGTACAGCAGAGGGTGTTGATCGTCCGTACAAATGTACAGAGTGTGGTAAAGCTTTTAAAGGATCTTCAGGACTTCGTTATCATATGAGGGACCATACTGGAGAACGACCATACAAATGTTCAGAGTGTGGTAAAGCTTTTAAACGCTCCTCATTGTTATCTATTCATCAACGGGTGCATACTGGTTTGAGAGCATTCAAGTGTGCAGAATGTGGCTTAACTTTTAAATGGTCCTCCCACTATCAGTACCACCTCAGACTACATACAGGTGAGCGACCCTATAGTTGCACCGACTGTGGCAAATCATTCAAGAACACATCCTGTCTTCGTCGACATCGTCAGCTACACACTGGTGAGCGCCCATTTGCTTGTTTAATGTGCGGCAAAACATTTACTCAGACATCCAATCTGCGTCAGCATGAAAGGACACACACAGGGGAAAGGCCCTACAAGTGTGAAAAATGTGACAAGACTTTTACTCATTCTTCCAACTTACAATTGCACCAGCGCACACACTCCACTGACAGACCCTTTAAGTGTTCTATTTGCGACAAAGGGTTTGTTATGTCCTCTTACCTGCAACGACATTTACGCACTCATGTAGTTGCAAGCACAACCAGGTTACATACTTTACATGAGTCCCAGGAAATAAAAATTACCCCCAACTCTGAAGGAGTGCAGTATATACCTACTATACCAGCTCAACTAAATCTTGAAATTGGAAACCAACCTAGACCATCTGCTTCACAAACTTTTTTCTTGGTGCAAGCAACGCAGCATAACACACCCAGATTTGTATTGTTGCCCAGCTGTCAGCTATTGCAGTCTGAGCAAAACACTCCCATAGTCTCAGATGCTTCCAATCTGATTGTGTTGCCAAATAATGCACAGCAGCCATGTAAACGTAACTTGCCCAAGTTGAAAAAAGCTTCTGCGCCCTGTAGCTTTGATATTAAGCAGAATGTCCTGGTTTTCCCAAATGCTCAGCCTCTTCAAAACATTCAAGTTCAGACTAGCCAGGGATCTCCTAAAGCGCAGACTATATCCCTTGGGCAAAATGTTATTGTACTGCAGAATGTCATTGGTCAGAGTCCTCAACTATTCCCAGCAGCACAGATAACCAACAATTCTGCCCCAGAGAAGATATCAAGCATACAGACCCTATCATTACCTAGTACAAGAGACACAACTAGTGTCAGTCCTCAAATCTTATGTCGCTCTCAGGAAAATTCAGATGTTCAACTCCAAGCTTCATCATCTTTGCAAGATGTATCCACTACACATGCATTAACTACACCCCAAGAAATTCCAACTATACGACTCCAAACAATATCTAGTACACAAGGAGGCATTCAGGTACAAACAATTCCAGAAACAGAAAGTGGAAACAAGAGACAAAAATTGATTGTAGTGCAGAATTCTTCAGGGGAACAGCTACTTAGCCCTGCAGATAACTTGCAGTCTATTGAAGAAACACAAGATGTTCGATTTGAAGCACTTCAAGCTGAAGAGGGTCTGCAGAATGTCCTTATACTACAAAATGCTGATGGAGAGCAGACACGACTTTGTGTACAAGAAATGGAAAATATTCAAAGAATGCAAGATATACATAATATCCAAATCCATCCCATGACTCATTTACAAGAGTCAACTACTAGTGCCCCAGGGGGTCAAAAAGTATTTATTATTCAGAGCTCTGCAGGGGAGCAAACATTAGAAGTAATGGACAATTTTAGTGGTGCTCAAAATATGCAGATTCTAGATAACATACAGGGGTTGCCAGGTGGGCAAAACATAAATATGGTACCAGCTAACTTAAACCATAACACTGTGCGCCTGTTGCAAAACGTTCATTTGAGTTCACCATCAAATGGGCAAGGATGTCAAACCATTGAAAACTTGCATAATTTACAGAACATACAATCAACATGTGCTGAAACACAAAACATACAAACTTTACAGATAGTACAAAAGAATCCAGAATCAGAATTACAGCAAAGTCTGTCCTCTATTCAATTTCTGCAAACTGTGTCTAAAGTACAACTTGTTCACACATTCTAATTACAGGGCCATTTCAATACAGTAGTGGTTTTGGTTCAAGGAAGCCATGAGTAAAGTACCTCATAATTTTTGTCTGTTTTAAAAAAAGTTTGACAAAAACTGCAGAATTTTCTGGCACCTTAAGCAAACCCTCAGAATGAAGCTGTTCTATTCCTCATTATCCGTCCAGAATATTTGTACGATGTAAGAGCTCCTTGTAATGAGCATTATAGGAGTATAATTCAGCCATATCGAATAGAAAATAACCTCTTCAGTGCCACCAGGTTGACACAAGAAGCCAGTCGCAATTTGTCCATGCTCCATGACCATATCCTTCCATACATATATGTTGATAGTAATTGACAATGAGGTTGCAAAGTGGGCATAGTATGCCAGAATATTCCCTGTTTTTTGTCCAACCACTTAAACAGTTTGATAAAATTGAGGGCTTCCTATTCTCCTGCCAGTATAAATACTCCAAAAAGCTATCGCTCTTTTCATGCTTGGTGAAATACCTTATCGTTCGGGGTGCATGCAATGGTAGTTAGTTATAAAGGCAATAAAGTTGCTTTTAACACACTTCTTCCTCTGGCATTATGGATGCTGAATTGTAGAATGGCAGTATTTAAGAATATTCAACAGCAAATCTTTTAAGAGACTGAGGACAGTGATCATGGCTATATTAAAATATTTACAAGTAATTGTCATTTAATTACAAAATGTAATTTAATTTTTTCAAGCAGCCTGTAAATGCCAGTTCATTTTAGCTGCTCATTCACTTTGGTGAAGTTAATGAAATGCATCTTGATGACAAAGAGCACCGATATAAAACAGCAGTTCTGAACTACGGCACACATGATTAAAAAAAAAAAAATAATAATAATAATAATAAAAAAAAAAAATATATATATATATATATATATATATGCTGTATTAGTCCAGTGATGTAGATGTAAAAAACAGATAAAATTCGTATCTTGTAATACCTTTTATCTGTTTTTTACATCTACATCACTGGACTAATACGGTTACAATCTCTACTTGAACACTATGGAAGATACCGCATACAGCCGCCTAAAAAAGCATAGTCCAATAAAAAAGGTATTACAAGATACAAATTTTATCTGTTTTTTACACGTGTGTATGTGTGTATATATATATATATATCTCTCATGTGGATGAGTTGATAAATCACCAATAAGAGGGACAGAGATACTTTTATCCTTTTATTACATCCATACCAAATCTCATCAAATTGTACTGGCTGCCCTCAATGTTCTAATTGGCAGTTATTGACGGTCCTGCAGCTTGTCATTAGGTATCTACAGAGATATTAAAGTACTCTAGTACCACTCGGGACCCGACATCAGAGTGGGAGGAGAGGTCACCAGTGCTGAGGGAGCACAGCGCTGCATTAAAGTAACTAAAGGGGCACCTGAGGGTGGGGGAGTTTGTTTTCCTGACACCATAGTGATTCTTTAAATTAACCCCTTAAGGACACATGACGGAAATATATCTCCGTCCAGAATATAATGAAATGCATCTTAAAGACAAATAGCACCCTGTAGTTCAGAACTGCTGTTTTATATGGGTGCTATTTGTCTTTAAGATGCATTTCATTATATTCTGGACGGAGATATATTTCCGTCATGTGTCCTTAAGGGGTTAATTTAAAGAATCACTATGGTGTCAGGAAAACAAACTCCCCCACCCTCAGGTGCCCCTTTAGTTACTTTAATGCAGCGCTGTGCTCCCTCAGCACTGGTGACCTCTCCTCCCACTCTGATGTCGGGTCCCGAGTGGTGCGGAATGCGCATGTGCGGCAGGAGCCGCGTGCGCAGTCAATCGGAAAGCTTTTTTTTTTTTAATGCTTTCCTATGGACATTCTGCACGCTGAATGCGATTTTTGCATCCAGCGTCGCAGAAGCGCCTCTAGCGGCTGTCATGAAGACAGCCACTAGAGGCTGGATTAATCCTGCAATGTAAACCTTGGTTTCTCTGAAACTGCTATGTTTAAATCTGATGGGTTAAAACCTGGGAGACCTGGCACCCTCACCACTTCATTGAGCTGAAGTGGTCTGGGTGACTATAGTGTCCCTTTAAGAGCATAATTACATGCAAATGTCACATATCCTTTAAAAAAGGATAAATATTGCTGACTTATTAATATGGTGACTGGAAGATGAATGCTGTCCCACGTATGCGCTCACTTTTCCGGTTACATTCAAACACTTACAAATTATTTTACAGGCATGGTGATACATACTTACATTATCACCCACACCCAGCACACCACCTTTTACAATGAACGGGAGTCTAGCAGTGATTATAAAAACGTATCTATGAGAATGTATGCAAAGGTCTGGAACCACTCTACCACAGCTTCTGCACGCTGAGTTGGTAAATGGCACACAGATTGCAAATTGCAGACTTGAATGTGCTGCTTCAAGCAGCAGCTTTATTATGAATTACAAAATAGTAAAAATTGTACTTTGGCACATGTGGGCTCCAAACAAAACTAAAATAGCCTTATTTACAACTATAAAAAATAATCTGCATTTAATTTTGCCTTTCTGGTAAGTAAATGTAAAGTACATATTGAAATGAAGAGGAGTTATCAAGTTAAATGTAGATATACTGGATTCCTTTTGTGTAAATTGGGTTTTATTAAATATAAAGCCACATTTGCAGAATAAAACCTTGAATAGCCAAAAATCAATGCCAGATGTAGCTCACTATATTGGTGCAAGAATGCAATTTGAACAAGTTCGGTATTTCTTAGTTGTATTTGAAGTGATTACCTAAATTTGTTGACTTTAGGTGCTGCACTCCTGCTTTTGTTTTTAACTATTTTATTTAAATACATGATCTTAAATTACATTTGTATAACCTAAGACATTAGTGTAGAAATACTGCCCAACCATCCCAAGCAGTAGAAGATATGCTTTAAATTAGAGGCATTCAGGGCATGAGCAGCTCTTGGTGAGCCATGCCCATCTGCAGTGCAGTAATGCCATGCTGACACTTTCTTCCTGGAATCTAATTCTCTCCACATTCAAGGTGGTGACATGAGATGAAAAGAGCAACCGCTTTTGCACCCTCTTCCACATGGTCATTGTTTGCCACTGGCATATATTTGTCGGAGATGCGTTTGGTGTTCCTTAAATTACTTATTAACTAGAGTAGTGGTGACTTACTTTGGCCCCTATTGGGTGGCTAAACATAATTGACAAATAAGTAGCCTAATCATAATAAAGTTTCACATTTAAAGACATAATTTTAAACCCGTGGCCTAGGATGTCGTCTTTGTACATTTTAGATTTGATCAATGTGCCCAGTGTAATCCCTATTAAGCTATATTTTATTTATATATATTTAAGCTTCATGTTCCTTTTTCTTCAGAATTAATTTGCAACAATTTTATCCTTTTTCATATTAGGAATTAGTGTGAGATAATGAGTACTTCTGCAATATTTAAATTATATGGAGCTTTATACAAATATGTAAATAGTTTGTTGGACTTTCTTTAACAGTGGTGTGCAGTCTGTAATTATAAAATGATGACCTCCCTCTTCCTAGAAGGCAGACATGCTCAGATTGCTGGCAAGCAGCGACTGCTTCTGAAGAGCCTTAAAGCGGCTCTGTCACCTGCTCAGGCTTTTACCTATTTTACTACGACCCCGGGTGGTGATTGTTACACTTGTATTCCGGTGGCCGTGGTGGGACAGGGGACTGTAGATTTTTATATATATGGAACAATACTTTGCTGCCGCTGCCGCCTCCATCATCATAAAGGTCCTCTTCAGCTCCAGGTGCTTCATCTGCAATGAACTGATATCAGAGTTTTACTCTTGCGTATGTGTGAGGGCATAACACTATATATGGAGAATCTCGCTGTGTCGATAGAAAGGACAGCTGAGGGCTTGACAAAAGATATCTTATGTCAACTGAAGGAAAATACATAAGTGGTCCCATCAGGGAAATTCCAACAGTCTTTAAGAGCATCAGATGCACGCACCTGTTATATGCTGTGTTTATATAATGTATTAATGGCTTTCCATATCCATCTCCACTTAGGATTGTAATACACAACTGTTTTTGTTTTTTTTCATCTGCTTCAATATTTTTTGGTATATATGTAAAAGGCACCAATAAAATAAAATTTTAAACACCATAAGACTTTTTTTTTTCCAACTATTAATCTGTTTTCTTAAAATATCGTGCTCTATCTGCTGTACATTTGCATTCAATTTCTAATCAGATAAACTAAAACCTTGGTTGCATTAAATAAGTGTGCTCCTGTTGTGTACTTTAACCCATTGATTATTTTAACTTGCCACCTTAATTAAACATATTGCAGAGCCAACATCTGGATAAAATAAATATGGCCGACTGCTTGTATGTAATATACAGTAACTCTTGGTTACATGCATTATTTAGGAAGGATAGCAATAACAGGCATGGTGGTGCGGTATGTATTTTTGCTGCTGATAAGATATGTAACATGGTTGATGTTCCAGGAGGGATAAGCCAAATGACAAATGATTTAGGTAACCTAGAAAAATGGTTAGTTGTGGCAGCTGACATTTAATGTGGATAAGTGCAAGATAATGCATCTTGGACGTAAAAACCCAAGGCCAGAGTACAGAATATTTGATAGAATCCTAACCTCAACATCTGAGGAAAGGGATTTAGGGGTAATTATTTCAGATGACTTAAAGTAGTCAGTAGTTTTATAGTCAAACTATAAAAGCAAGAAAGGCAGGTCGCCTGGCCTTCTTTCTTGCTTTCATATTAGTTTCCCCTTAATAAAAAAATCAATTTGAGTACTTTTCATCATTAAAACTTACCTCCATTCCAGCGCTGAGATCTTTGCCAAGCCACGCCCCCTTTTCGTAAAAATGTTAAAATAGCAGCGCTCAATCAGACGCTTCTCTTAAGAAGTGTCATAGCTGTCTGGTGCGCATGCACGGCTTTATGCTGCACAAATCTCGTTCTTCATAGAGCGGTAATGAATGCCGCTCTATGAATGAACTGAGTGCTCTACTGCGCATTTGTGCGTGGTATGTGCATTCGTGAGCTGACTGACCGCTCAGCTCGTTGTCTATGCCTGCCTACTGCAACCCTTCAGCCCAAAGTTTGTATACATAGAAATATATAGAGATATATAGATTGATCTCATATATATATATATATATATATATATATTTTAGTGTATGTATAAAAACACACAAGTTGTAAATAAATATTGTAAACATACACACTCTATTTCTATCTATCTCTATATATTTCTATCCGATCTATATACTATCTATCTACTTCTATCTATCTCTATCTGACTCAGTCATATACTCACACACTCTTGTTTACTATCTTTCACTTACTCAATCACTTTCACTCACTCACTTTTAAAATAAGTGTATTTACGCTTTGGATCCTACTGCTATGTCTCCGGTCTCCAGCCTGTCAGCCCGAGTCATGCAGAACATCTTTATCTCACACACTGTCGGCTCTGACTGCCGACAGGCTCCGGGTTAATACAGGACACAAGAGACGCGTTCACAGTGCCTCCTTTGTCCTGATTCTTCAGCTAAGCGCGAAGAGGTCAAATGTAAGTCTTGCGCATCAGGCAGGACTTCACTTGGAAGTCTGCTTGGTTGTGTAGGGAGAGGTAGAAAGGTAGATTTGCAGTAGAAAGAGGGAAGTGCACATGTCATTGTACAGAACACTGGTAAGACCTCACTTGGAATATTGTACGCGTACTGGAGACCGTATCTCCAGAAGGATATTGATACTTTAGAGAGAGTTCAGAAAAGGGCTACTAAACTAGTTCATGGATTGCAGGATAAAACTTACAAGGAAAGGTTAAAGGGACACTATAGTCACCTGAATAACTTTAGCTTAATGAAGCAGTTTTGGTGTATAGAACATGCCCCTGCAGCCTCACTGCTCAATCCTCTGCCGTTTAGGAGATACATCCCTTTGTTTATGAACCCTAGTAACACCTCCCTGCATTTGACTTGCACAGCCTTCCATAAACACTTCCTGTAAAGAGAGCCCTATTTAGGCTTTCTTTATTGCAAGTTCTGTTTAATTAAGATTTTCTTATCCCTAATAGCTTGCTAGACCCTGTAAGAGCCTCCTGCATGTGATTAAAGTTCAATTTAGAGATTGAGTTACAATTATTTAAGGTAAATTACATCTGTTTGAAAGTGAAACCAGTTTTTTTTTTTTTTTTTCTTCATGCAGGCTCTGTCAATCATAGCCAGGGGAGGTGTGGCTAGGGCTGCATAAACAGAAACAAAGTGATTTAACTCCTACATGACAGTGAATTGAGCAGTGAAATTGCAGGGGAATGATCTATACACTAAAACTGCTTTATTTAGCTAAAGTAATTTAGGTGACACTAGTGTTCCTTTAAATGATCTCAACCTGTACAGCTTGGAGGAAAGAAGAGACAGGGGGGATATGATAGAAACATTTAAATACATAAAGGGAATAAACACAGTGAAAGAGGAGACTATATTTAAAAGAAGAAAATCTACCACAAAAAGAGGACATAGTCTTAAATTAGAGGGGCAAAGGCTTAAAAATATCAGGCTGTATTACTTTACTGAGAGGCTAGTACGTGCATGGAATGCCCGTATGTGAAAACAGAAAGAGGATAATTGTGTAATGCGTTGTATAAAATACAGGGTTTGATATGGTCCTACTTTCATGTAGAAGAGCTTAAACCCAGCTCTAGTATGAATAGTGTTGAAGAAAATAAGGCACGTGAAACAACTGGTCCAAATCAAAAAGATTATTATTGAACAAGAAAGCAGGATTACAAAACAAAGTGACAGTTTTAGCACTTTCAAAGTAATTCAGCTGGCGCACACCATGATTAGATAAAACAGTTTCTTTATAATTTTGAAGATGTCCCAGTAATGTGGTTTGACCAATCCAAGTCTCTGCACGTTCTCCAACTCTGAGTTTCTTTATCTTGCCCTCGCAGTACTTGGGTGGCTGATGTAGCATTTGAGAGTAAATTTGTGCATGCAAACAGAATAGATGAACCAAGCAGAAAAACGTTTGTTTCATATGGCTTTTAACCCCTTAGGGACACATGACATGTGTGACATGTCATGATTCCCTTTTATTCCAGAAGTTTGGTCCTTAAGGGGTTAAGCATCAGTTTGATATTAAGCACAGGGCAAGAGATAGACCGTTAATGTTTTCTTTAACAATTCTCACAATTCCTTTTGATTTTATCACACATTTTTTACTTTGCGTTTCTCGTTCAATTAACAGCCTGCCTAAGTGGAAGTGACCCCCTAGACCGCCTGTATATTACGGACTACACAGATAAGCTGCATAAACAGTGGGATTTCGGTCATCCATTCTGGGCTGCCTACCTGGTGACCACTTCCTCTTGGCATTCTCACATCTTTATTGGTAACGCACAAGCCTGCAATCTCTATCTAAATGTATAACAGCAGCAGCCAGAGATGCACTCCACCACAGACCTAGGCTAATTACCAGAATCAATAACGCGCTCTCGGACAACCACAAGGGAAACCACGACAGGGCACTGAGCAGGATGAGAACTGGGCTTAAATATCCCTTCTCTGGATCTGATAGGGTGTAATCGACCTTGGACCCCAAAGGCAGTTACCAGGTTTCTATTTGCATAATTGCTGCTCAGCACAAACCCTGCTGTGGATTTGATTGCTGCTCAGCCCAACTTTTCCTGTCAGGACAGTAAATTCCATTAATCACATTTTTATAAGCAGTTGAATATGTGACACAAGCACAGTAATCTCATGGTCATTGAACCAGGCTTTGGTGCTTTTGGCAGTATGGGCAGGTAGACGTCTAAGTGTGTCTCCCTCTGTCATGTGTCTAATCTGAACCTGTTGGATAGCAAAAAAATACATGTAAATGCCTTGCCCTCCATTCCAGGGGGAAATTAAGGGTTACCCATCAAGGGGGAGAGGGGTGAAGGGAAAGGCCCAACTTAGGTTAGATTCTGTACCAGATGTCTCCAGATGTCTAGGGTGGCCCCTACACACGGTTGTTGGTTTAATAGTTTCCTGCCTTCCCTCGGGTTCATCCACGTCAAGCAACCAAGTATCCGCCCATCTGGGCCTGTTCGACCTCCTTTCATAACTTGTCTACCCCGGCCTTAGCCCATTCCAGGATTCTCTGCATATGGAAGGAGCGGTAAGATAGGAGGAAGCCAAACCACCCTCTACTTTTGGCCTTGAAAGAGTCTGATCGCGTATCCTTGGTCTGTGAGGGGCCCAGATATATTTGATTATAAGCGTCCGGAGCGATGTGAAGAATGCTTGTGGGATCTTGATAGGTAACGTTTGGAACATTTAGAAAATTTGTGGTAATATGTTCATTTTCGTAACGGCTTCATGAGATTGGGGATCGATGTCTCGGGTGTAGCCACAAAAAATGTAATCTGCGTATGCCGCCACCTTAAGCGTTTTATCTCCCACGTATAGTCCCCCAACATCTGGCCTCTGTCTCACTGCTTGAAGGAACGATTCGAGGACAAGGACGAAGAGCAGCGGCGGTAGTGAACACCCCGGTCTAGTTCCACATCTTATTTGGAAGGGTTCCGTATAGGCTCCATTGATGCACAATCTGGCCATGGGATTGTCATAGAGCGCCGTAATCCAGTTGTACATGTTTGGTCCCATTCCGATGGCCTTCAAGGTCTGCAAGAGAAAGCCCCAGTCCACTCTGTCAAAAGCCTTCTCAGCATCTGTAGAAAGTAGCAGAAGACCATCTTCACATCGCTGGGCCTGGTGGATCAAAGCAAGTGCCTGTGTAGTGTTATCTCGGGCCTCTCGGAAGGGCCTTTTCTTATTTTTAATCCCTTGCTTTACTTCTCTACGAAGCCACATTGGTTTCAATTTGTTTCTTTTATATATATTACCCAATGGTACATATTAGGAAATGTACCTTTCTAATATTTTGTTTTTTTCACTAAGGAGTTTATGCCAGTCAATAGAGCTGCCCTAAAAAATTTTTTTTTGTAAATATTTCTTTTATTGAGACAATGTGATTTGCAATACAGCATTTCAACAAGAATAAAAGGAATTAGTGCATATGATAAAATAGGAAACATATATTCAGTAGCTAAATTCCTGGTGGTCTGTCTCATTTTTTTATTTTTATATATTAAACGTGCTAGTCAAGCTAAGAACAATTTGCTATGCTATATAACAATGTGTAACAATTAGAAGGAAGTGTCAGCACAGCTTAGATTGTGAAAATAAAAGGATGATGGTCACTCATTACAGACTGAATCAGAGGTTATGCTATTACTCAAAAATGGCAATTACAAACATC